CAACCGCTTAACTTAATTGCTATATAAAATAAGTTTGGTAATGCATTTCTTTATATAATCTGTTTTTCCGGTTTAGAGCTAGTGAAGCTAGTGGAAACAACGATTAGGTCAGAAAACTCCAGGTCACCAAACAGGCCAATATATCTTGTAGCAGAGTCTCTTGGAGCATGCCTTGCCCTCTCTGTTGCAGCTCGGAATCCTAACTTGGATCTTGTACTCGTTTTGTCCAACCCAGGTTAAATTTTACAGTCTTACAACAATGCCATTTCTGTTCTAAACTCTTGACTTGATCAGCGGGGAATCATGTTGAAGAAAGGCTAGATAATCGAGTTAGATGCTTTGCTTGATCCATCGAGAATCTAATTGATCCATCTTTTTTCCCTGTTTTCTTTCTGACCCGCAGCATCTTTTAATAAGTCTCAGGCAAACACTGATACTCTACTGGACATTATGCCCGATCAGTTCCCACTTAATCTCCCTTACATGCTCAGCTTACCAACAGGTTATTTTGCCAACATGTTCTTTAACTTTCTTAGATGCATTCGTAGTCTCCTTTGAGGACGCCAATACGATTTTACTAACAATTGGACTATATAAGTTTAGGTAACCCCTTGAGGATGCTGATGGATAATGTTGTGAAAAGAGGTCTTCTGCCCCAAACTATTGAAGATCTATCACAAAATTTTGCTACAATGTCAACGTACCTCCCAGTAAGATCCATAGCTAAAAGTCTAAAGCATGTAGCAGTACATTTTTCTCCTGCCATTATATCCTATATTGATTCATGACAACTTAATCATTTAGTATCACAATCAATGCAATACTCCAGTACCATGATTATTTTCGATTGTCCTACTCCGTCCATTCCTTCTCCAGAGCACACTATACAAAATTGTCTATAGATGTGAAAAAAATAACTACATGTTATGAAATAGAATTGATCTTTTGTTGTGACAGGTTCTGACTGATATTTTACCTAGAGAAACTCTTCGATGGAAGCTAAATTTGCTGAAATCTGGTTCTGACTGTGCCAACACATTCGTCCATGGAGTAAAAGCTCAGATATTGTTACTTTGCAGGTCCTTAAACTCTGGCACTTAAAATCTGATAGAAATATTTTGCTTGCGCTATGGTTATTGGTGGTAAATGTAAATCCTATAGATGTCAAATGGATGTACATATAAGAAACATTAACTTGATGATTTTCTTTAAAAAAAATCATTATATGCAGAAGGTTGTGCCATCCATAAAATCTATAATTCCATCTTCTTGGCTAAAACACTAAATAATACCTCCCGAATTTTGATAATGCCTACATAGTTAATGGTTTGTATTTGCTTCTGCTATGAATATAATTGTTGAACTTCTGCAGTACCTAAATGATCATTTGTTACATATTGTATCGAAATTGCACATTTGAATTTTAATTTATACCATGATGTTAGATTGAATTCATTTTGTTTTCTTTACATATAGTGGAAGAGATCAGCTGTTGCCTAGTCAAGAGGAATGCCAAAGACTTCAGAAAGCACTACCAGATTGTGAGATTCGTAAGTTTGAAGAAAGTGGTCATTTTCTCTTCCTGGTATGCTTCTCTCTTTGCATAGGCAGATAGGCACTGAGTCTTGAGTAATTCCAAATTGCAAGCCACTTTCCGATGCAAATTATTATTTTTGCTCAATTGTTCAGGAAGATAATGTTGATTTGGTTACAACCATCAAGGCTGCTGCTTTCTATCGCCGAGGAAAGCAATTTGACTGGGTCTCAGATTACGTGCCACCAACACCTTGTGAATTCAAAAAAGTACATGAATCGATGAGGTAAGCATTAATTGTTTTACTACAAATTTTGCAGACAGGATCTTAAACAACACCAGTGTACCGTTATCCTAACCATGTCATTAGTTTGCTAAGAAATATATAGAACAGTTAAGAATGATAAACCCTTTTGAAATTACAAAAAGAAAAAAAAAACCACTACCATTTGCATTGCATCATCAATCTTAAATATTAATTGGAAATTAATAGATTGATTTAATTATGAGTAATTAACTAAATTGGTTTTGTTCCTAGATGGCTTCTTTCTGCTACCGGCCCTGTGATGCTCTCAACATTAGAGGATGGCAAAGTGGTGAGGGGACTCCAAGGAATTCCATCAGAGGGACCAGTCCTGTTTGTTGGTTATCACATGTTAATGGGAATTGAAATTGTTCCATTAGTAGCTCAACTTTTGATGGAGAGAAATATTCTTGTTCGTGGGATCGCACATCCAGTGATATTTGTAAAAGGGAAAGACGGAAATCCCCCGGATATGGACCCATCAAATTTTGATATATTCAGACTAATGGGTTCAGTGCCTGTCTCAGCAGCAAGCTTTTTCAAACTCATGTCTTCAAAATCTCATATCCTGTTATATCCTGGCGGTGCACGTGAAGCCCTTCATAGGAAGGTAACATATATAATAAATATACTACCAGCATTTACACATTGTCGAGGGATTTTCCAATTACTTTAATAAGTTTATGAAAATATTAGAGCATGCATTTCCAGAGATGGACCGAATGCCGGTGGAAGCATTCATCCCTTGAATATTTTAATTTTTTTTTTATATATTTTAGATAATTTTTTTAAATGTATTATTGATAATCTGTTTACATTCTCTTATTGTTCACCCCTGACGTAAAATCATGTGTCCGTCCATGTGTATTACATTGTTTATATGTATATGTTATACTCACGTGTAGAGATGATCCCGCAGGGGGAAGCATACAAGTTATTTTGGCCAGAGAAAACTGAGTTTGTGAGGATGGCAGCCAGATTTGGAGCCAAAATTGTTCCTTTTGGCGTTGTTGGAGGGATGATGTCGCTGAGGTAATAAAGGCCAAGCATGGAATTTTTGTTTTCCTACATGAAGTTGTTTTCACGTCTAGCAGTAGCTAACACTTTCATATTTATCATTATATTTATGAGCTCGTGGAGGTTTTTCCTTTTCTATTCCACTACTAATACATTAAAATAATTGTAAGTGGATTTTGCTGCTTAAGCCATGAAGAATAATTAATTTACATGGGGTGTTTACTTAATTTTCCAGATAATTTTGGATTACGATGACCAAATGAAGATTCCGTGGAGACGGCAAGAAATAGAACGAATTACAAATCGGACGCCAAAAGCTAGGTATTATTTCAACATTAAGCTGAATTGTTGTTATGATTAGGAATTTTCTTTGTTGAATTGTAACTCCTTAATTAGGGTTGATGCAAGTGGTGAGGTTGCAAACCAACAAATGTATTTACCGGTGATGCTACCAAAATTTCCAGGCCGGTTTTATTATTACTTTGGGAAGCCGATTCTGAGTGAAGGTAATTATAGAAATTAAGATATATATATTATATATATATATCTTTGATTTATTTACAATGTAAACAGAAGAATTGTTAAGATAATTTGTATAGAAAGTTGACGTGTACTTACACAGGGATGAAGGTGGAGTTGAGGGATAAGAAGAAATGTGATGAACTGTATCTACATGTAAAGTCAGAGGTGGAGAGCTGCATTGATTCTTGAAACGTAAAGAGAAAAGGATCCTTACAGGAATCTATTTTCAAGGGTGTTGTACCAGGCCTCTCGTCCTGGTTCTATCTCTCCCTTTCATATTCCATCATTTGATTTATGACTATATGCCTGTAGACTTACAGACATTTTTTTTATGAATATTCTAATGTATTCTTATAATAAATTTATTTGTTTTAATATGAATAGAAAACATTTTTATTTTTCATTATTGAGATTATTTCTTAAGTTTATTTGTATATAGTGGCGGATGTAAATGTTATCCAAGATGGCATTTATCCACTTAAAATCTAATATTTTTTTATGTTAATTATTTATTTTATTAGTAATACCTCATATAAAAAATTTATGTTATTAATACATAAATATATATATCCACCCTTAAAATATATTTTTGTTTATGTTACTGCTTATATATATATATATTCATTTTATGATTTATGTTTGAACTTTTAGTTATTTTTCTTGATAATGTCCTTTATAAAGTTTAAATTTAAATTTATATTTATATGTGCTTTGAATCTATCGAATATCTTAATGGTTAAAGGGAGTTTAAACAATTACATTTATAGATATATATAAGTTGTTAATGGTTAAATAATCACCTTAAAATTATTGAAAAAAGTTTTATATGCGACTGGAATGTGTAGGATCTAAACTAATTATTATTCACATTTTTACGTATGGTTCTGCCAGCTGCCAATTATATATAGTTAAATAAACTAGTCGCCGGTAAGTTGTCGTTATTTGTTCAAAATATTAATTAATTAGTTAATTAATCATATTTAAACTACGAACCAAACAATATTAATAGTCAAAATTTAAAAGGATATTATTATTTTCAAAAGTCCCATGTTCAAATGCATCATCTCTAAGAATAGAATATATTAAATATGTGACATAAAATATATATGTTAAAATATTTTTTAAAAAATCATTAAAAATATAAAAACTGGAAAACATTCATGATGTTATCACTGGTTATTTTATAAAATATAATTTGAATTTTAAAGAATTATGATTTTAAAAAACAATTTAATATACATTTTATGTCTCTTTTGTATAATAAAATAATAAAATTATTATTTTTCAATAATTTAAAATTTAAGTTTATATTTAAACAATTAAGAGACGAATTAAATTGAAATATTAATATATTAAAAGAACAAATTATAAATTTAATGATTAAAAACACTCTTTAAACAATGTTTTAATTTCAAAGTAAATCTATTAAAAAAAATTCAAAGTAAATCTATTAAAAAAAATTCAAAGTAAATACTGGTTGTTGGCTTTTAGCGCCATTCAGTATTTCAATATTCATATACAGAAGGACACAACGTTTTTTCTTACTTTCAAATCCATGTCTATCCAAAAAAGCTGAATCATATCTTATAAATAAAAGTTAGAGAACTCGATCGAAACAAGAGTGTTCGATTCAGTTTCATGGCGGCCATCGGAGCATCTATACGCCTCGCCGGTTGCGTGTCGCCGTTTCTCAGTGGCGGACCACCACCTTGTACGGGGAATAACGAAACGAGGTGGGATTTTAGCTGTTTCTACGGAACGGATAGGAAGAGGAACCGGTTTTGGAGAGAACGAAAAGCTTGATAAGAAGATGAATCTGAAAACGGTGACGGAAGAAACTGAGGTGAAACCTAATATATATGCAAACCCGGAGGAGTTGCCGGAGTTTGAGGAGGGTAAAAAGTGGTTAAAGGATTATTTTGAAGAGTGTAAAGAGATGATCAGATCGGACGGTGGTCCGCCTCGTTGGTTCTCACCTTTGGAGTGCTCTTCTTCTACTTCTCCAGACTGTCCTTTGCATCTGTTTTTGCCTGGTTCGTTTTACTTCATCTTTCTGATCAGATATAGACTCGTTTTCTCTCTATATATAAACAAATGCAAATTACTTAAAGGTGTTTTTCATAATTCAAATTTTAGCATTAACTAACGAGTTTTCAGTTTTCAGGAATTGATGGCATTGGACTTGGACTTATAATGATCTTTGAATGAAGGATGTTCAACATTTGGTGCTTGCATATTCCTGTGCAGGAAAGAACGCCATTTAATGGTACTTGTTTTTCAGTATCAGTCGCTTAATTAATGGCTATATATGATAAGTTTGCTAATTCATTATTCCATATAATTTTTATTTCTGGTTTAGATCTAGTGAAGCTTGTGGAAAGAACGATTAGGTCAGAGAACTACAGGTCCCCAAACAGGCCAATATATATTGTTGCGGAGTCTCTTGGAGCATGCCTTGCCTTCTCCGTTGCAGCTCGGAATCCTGACATAGATCTTGTGCTTGTTTTTTCTAACCCAGGTCCACAGTCAGTCTTACATACATACAATACCTATTCTGTTTGAGAAAATGCCTTGAAGAAATCTAGTTAGATGCTCTGCTTGATCCATGGATAATCTTATCGGTCGGTCTTTTTCCCCTTTTCTTTCTAACCTGCAGCCACATCTTTTAGTAAGTCACAGTTGCAACCACTAATACCTTTACTGGAGATTATGCCTGATCAGTTCCCACTTAATCTCACTTACATGCTGAGCTTACCAACAGGTTATTTTGACATGTTGTTCTACTCTCTTTGATTCATGTATAGTGCCCTTTTCCATTAGAATTGAATGACAAGATATGATTTTACTAATAATTGCACTGGGTATGTTTAGGTCCTCTGCCACAAATCATGGGAGAGTTATCACAAGATCTTGCTAAAATGTCATCAGACCTCCCTGTAAGTTCCATTCTTATGTTCAATTGTCCATCCATTCCTTCTCAAGAGCACAGTGTACATAATTGAGCTAGATATAGACGAGAGAAATACATGTTAAGCAACAAAATTCAGAAAGAAAAAGAATCTTTTTTTGACAGGTTTTGGCTGATATTTTACCAGAGAAACACTTAAAATGGTTATTTGAACATGGTTCAGTGACCTCTGGTGTACTCTCTTCGTATAAAAGGGGTTAGATATCTAAGTGGGGAAAAGGGTATAGTTTATGGGTCAATTTTATTATTAAACCTATAATGAATCTTGCTTCAACTGAATATGAAGGCATTCTACAAGTTCTGAAACAATAGAAATGAGTTGAAGAAAATTTCTGAATTTTTTTACCTGTTTGATCATCCCTCAAGCATTTTTCTACTGATCCTTTTTTCCTCTCCAACTCTCCCCACATCTTGGCCTCAGCGACGGCTCGTTCTCTTTCGTAATCCACACCTAACATCCTGGTTGTTTCGTTTGGAGAGTCACTGTTTCCGGGCCCTTTCACACTATCCCTTTTAGCTTCATCTGAGTTATATGGATGAGAATTGAAATAATCCAGAGCTATCACTATTTCACTAACAGAGGGTCTCGGATTTTCATTTTCTTCAAAGCACATCACGGCCACCTCCAGAGCCTTCTGCAAGCCGGATTTCGAAAAGTGACCTCTCAGCAGTGGATCTTCTAAGTTAGTAACGTTCTGTCCATCTTTAAACTTCGGTCGTGCCTACAAAAAAAATGAATATATAAGTTAGTAGGTCAGGAAACACATTGCTGGGAAGTATATTAACAAGGAGAAAAATGAAATCCATGCAATCATGAAACATTACTACTGCAGAAATATGCAAATATGCCATGTGTTCTCACTTAGCCAATTCAAATGTAAATACCCTGCGCTTCAAGTTTATGACTAATTGTATTTACGTAAATAACTGTTTGATCACCGAGATATAGTAAGAAGCAACTGATTTCAGTGAGCACTATATGAGATCAATACTTGCAGTGTCATAGTTAAAGTTATATCAGTCTATTATTGAAGTGCTAAATGCAAAGTAAATGACATTTCTTTGAGAAACAACCATAAAGCAAAACAGTTCCAGCCAAACCTGTAATATACATTATGTGAAGTATTATGACCCAATCAACAAGGAGTCGTTCATCACGAGCACGGGTATCATCAAAAGCTCTACGGCCAGTTATCAGCTCCAATAGGACAACCCCAAAAAAAAGGTCAGACTTCGTAGTCAATTTTCCACTAGTGAGGTACTCGGGGGCACAGTAACCATGGGTTCCCATGACCCTGGTGGAAACGTGTGATTTATCTCCACTCGGACCAAATTTTGCAAACCCAAAATCAGAGAGTTTTGGGTTGAATTCGTCACCTAATAGTATGTTAGATGATTTCAAGTCTCTATATAATAGGTGGAGTTGCTCCGCAGTGAAGATATTCCAATCCTTGGGCTGCACCAGAAGCTATTTTCATTCTCGTGTTCCAGTCCAATGGTTTCTCATCAGGTGCAAGATCTGTGAACATCATTGATTATAAATTTAAGTTACTGAAAACATGACATATGTAAGAAAGAAAATGAAAAGGGTTTTGAAGCCATGATTGTGAGTGAGCGGGTGTCCTTCAGACCTATCCTGGAGATCTAGATAGATAGAACCAGTGAAAATGATTTATAAAAAATGAAATCTTTGTCAAGATTTAAGGAGAAGGCATGAATTACAATGGAGGTGATCTTCCAACGATCCCTGCTGCATGTACTCGTATACAAGAAGGCGCTGATTCCCTTCAGCACAGTAACCAATCAAATTGACAAGATTTGGGTGATTCAAAAGTGAAAGAATGAGAAACTCCACAAGGAACTCCTTTTCCCCTTGGAGACCAGTTATCTAGTTTCTTAATAGCTACGACCTGATAACAACCATAATGCATGCAAAATGAAAGAAAATATGGGGAAAATGCTCCAGACAGTAAATTAAACAGGCACAGAAGAATGTACCTTACCGTTTTCTAATTTTTTCCTTTATAAACAGACCCAAATCAACCCTGCCCAACCATGGATTCTGATCTGAAGTTTTTTGTCGCATTTGCCAGTTGTTGATATGTAAAAGTCCGAGCCCGATTGTCAGAAATAGGTTCCTCTTTTGGAGCTGATGGTTCCCGTCTCACGGCTGCACCGGTTTTTGATCCAACTCCTGTTTTTCTTCAGACATAGTTAGATTGACAGAATAAACTGTATCATGCCACTTTGTTTAACATTGAGAATTGTTTAGGTACAATCAAAAGTGTGCAAAATAAACATATATTGGACCCACACAGAATCGCACAGGCCTTACTTTTGGAGTCTGCAATATTAGTTCGGTTCATTTAGGAAGGGAAACAAGGTAAAAGGAAAGGCAGCAACGACAAATCTTACAAATTCCAGCCTCAAGAAAGATTCGATACAAGCAAAAGCCAAGGCATAATCAACTATATCCACATCATTTAAACAAAACTGCATTTTAATTGTGTACAATTACACTTCATCCCAACTAAGCCATAAATCTTGGTTCTGCTAATCAACTACCAGTGAACCTCCATTCCTTTTAAAAAAAACGTAGTTGGTTTAAGCTCCATACAAGTTCCAAAACGAATTAGCAATGTAAAGCCGTCCGACCGGAACACAATCTCGAGTGTTGATTTCCAAACAGCATCATCGTTCCAAAGGTCATAAAACCAGACACCATTACCAGATATTTAGCAGCAATGTTTTCAACAATAGTAGAAATAGGATGAAAATTTGTCCTGGTTCCTACCCAGTCGAATGAAAGCTACAGATTCAATGTAAATTTAACATAGCTGTTTGTTCCTTGATGCTTTATATTGGGAAAAAAAGGGTCTTCTTCACATATAACATTCAAAAGAACAACTTCCCTAGCAGAAATTAAGAAACCAAAAGATTCTAAATTGAACAAATTGACATCCTCCACTAATATTCCTTAAAATTCAATATATCCCACCTATTAAATTCACATTATTAATAAAATCTTGAGAAAAGTAAACTAAACAAGATTAATTAAATCATATATAAGATGAACAACGCAAACAAAATTCAGAAAAAGAAAGGGGGGGGGGGAAGCAAATTGCATGAAAGAAACTGACTAGAAGACACATTACGCTTTGCATTTCTTGACTGGTTCTTTCTTGTCACCAGTCTTTAGCTTCTCACATTTTTTGTGGAAAAGCTTTGAAATTCAAAACCAAAAGCTTTCACCCGACTTTCAAAAGTTGAAGACTGATCTGCATTTTGGCCTTTCCTGCGTTGATTTCAGGAAGACGAGGATTCAAAACTACAGGTTTTATACGTATGTAAATTGAGAAAAATGTAAAAGAAATCTATTTAGTTTTTTTTTCGAAGGAGAATATGCGATGTTGATGCCAATGGTAACAAAACATTAGTTTTTTTTAAGTAAAAAATAGGATCTTTCCAAATTACGTATAAACATTAGTTTTTTTTCTCTACTTGCAGCCGTTTTCTCTATCATCTCTATTATACCGTTTACTTCCTAGTTTTGTTTTGTATGTACTTTTATCATAGAGGATGACATTAATCTTAAGCTATGCATCGATAATGCATTTGAAAGAAGCACACTAAAAAAAACTCAGTCTCAAGCCCCAAAATCCAACAAAATCCATTCGAAGGATTTGGGGTTCCTTCTGACTCTTTCGATCTTTCCAAACAAGATTCCAACAGTTTCCGTAGTTCTTCTCTCATCGTTATCCGGAATTCATGGAATTTCTTTTTCCAGCTTAGTCTTCAGCTGTGTGACATCTCAGATTGTAACCTCGCCGCCCTCTCTCTGCCATTAGTTCGGTTGAGCCACCTGACTTCGGGTTTGTGGACCGTCCACCATAGCAGAATCGGAGGCTCCAATACTCTTGTCATGAACTCGAATCTAACAACAACCACACTCAAAAGATTTCACAGAAGAAGATAGAAATATTGAAGAAAGGGAAAAGGGAAAAGGAAAAACAGAAGATAGAAGGGAGGAACGACTTAACATTTTCATTTCCAGAAACTGAGAAAATAAACTACAATTATCTCTCTTAACCCTAGGCCAAAACGACATCGTCTAATTCAGTTATTTGCCGAACCAAAACATCTAATGAAAGCAATGTTGCTAATGTTTCTTTTATGTTCATACTTAGTAAATGATCAGTTACATTTAGGTAGCTAAGTTATGTTCCCATCCTAATTCAGGACTTATTGTGATTTCAGGCGAAGAAAAACAATGTTCTCATTTAACAGGGAGGATAGTGTTGAATCTGGTGAGAAGGCTGCTGTAAACAGTAATTATCAAGGGAATCATCCTGAGACATATTATGGGTCAGATTCACGGATGATTATGACGAAGGGTAGGAAACTTTCTGTTTTAGTTGTTTGCTATCAGCAGTCCATTAAGGATATAATATTCATGATTTGTTTTGCTTGTTATTACAGAAATGAATGGATCAAAAGGTGGACCGAGATATGTGGCATCATCTGATATTGATGTAACCAATGTTTTGGGGTCAGATAGGGAGATGGACGGTTCTGCAAATTACATGGATGAATTAAAATCTTTTGATTATCGACCAGTAGCTGATATGAAAATGGAAAAGGACTCTAACATGAAGGACAATAAATCATCCATGCAATTTGGAATGGGTAGTGGTCTCTCTGATGGGCCAGGCTCTCTATTTGGTTTTCATTTTCTGCAGCCTACTCTTGGCCATAACCAGAAAACTGTTGAGGGCAATAACGAGTCACATTCACTGGAAAGTATTACCCCTCCAGAGGAATTGAGTTTGTCCTATCTTGATCCTCAAGGGGTAGTTCAGGGACCATATCAGGGGATCGACATAATTTCATGGTTTGAGCAAGGTTATTTTGGTACATACTTACCTGTTCGATTGAAAAATGCTCCAGATGGATCGCCTTTCCAAGAACTTGGTGAAGTGATGCCTCACCTAAGGATGAATTCTGGTGCAGCCTCCTATGTTAGTGCAGTTACAAGAAAGCAGATACCCGATCATTTTGAAGCGAGCTTGAAAGAGAGTATATCTTCCGCTTCTGCTCCAGAGTTAAAGGGGTCTACCATTGGACATGAGCATCAGCAGTTTTTGTCTGCTTTTGAGACTTCTGGTACTAATTTTCAGTTAAGATGACCTTCTCAAAGTTATCATTCTGAGCATCAGTTTTCTGAATATGAGAAGCTCCATAAATTTGCTGCTGCTCATGCAGACGGTAAGTTTTATGGGTTGGACCTACTGTTGATTTTGTTATTGTGTTTGATACTGATTCCTGTTTTTCTCGTGTGATGCAGAAATTCTTTTTCATGTTATAAGCAAAGTATGGCAATATACTTCCTTCAGAGCATCAGATTCATCTTCAACAAGAGCAGTTTCAAGCGCAACAATTATCTAGGGCACTGAGCCAACAATTGGGAATGGAGGGGGGTAGACAACTTGCTAGTTCTTGGTCTGTAGATGAAGTTGGTCCGTTTGTCAGGAATCCTAGCATTCTTCCCTGGCTCAATCAGTGGGGTTGAATGATTCAGATCTTCACCAGAAGAGGCTTTCATCTTTTGAAGGGCAATTCAGCAATCTAAAAGGATCTTTCTTGCAGGAGCAATGGCAGCAATGGACTTTTGAGCCAAACCCTACAGCATTTACAAGGCCAGCTGTTTCTGCACGTGCTTCTGGGATGGAAGGCGACAATGTAAATTCTCTAGATCTATCTGACCATCTCTATATGCACTCTAACAACCAACTGGGTCCATTTTCTTCCTGTAACCACTCTCTTGGCCAAAAAATTTTGGGTGATGTGAACATCTCTCAAACAGATTTAATAGAGAGCTACCAGTCTAGGCAAATGGGCAACTAGAAAATAGTTGGCTGGAAAACAAATGCACCAATTAAGTCTTGAAGCAGATCTGCAAAGAAGGGAGTCTGAAATTGATTAAAGCACTTGGACATCAGCTGAAGCAATACATGAAAACTCTAAGAAAGCTTTAATGGACCTTTTTCAACAAAACTTGGTATTCAATCCATGCAGTCATCAGAAGTGAATTATCAACATTCTACTTCACCATCCGAGCAACAAGCTTTGAATTTACCTTTCAATCTTTTGACTGATCAGGAAGTTCATGTGAGCATCTCATTATCAGAAGGTCCTCAAAATTCTGGCTCATTTGCAGAACATTCATTGATTTTAGGCTCTGGAGATCTGTTTTTCTAGTATATGCAGGTTCTAGGTTGACGGAAAAATCTGTTTTGGAATTGGATAAAGAATTACTGGAAGTAGGGAGAAAAATGGATTGAAAGGCGTGATTTCTCGGATTGGTTCTGTGTCAGGGTCCGAGGACAATATATTTAGAGCAAGTCGATGCTACTTTGGACAGTGGTGATCTACAAAGTAGAACCCTATCCGGCTGGTCTCTTAGTACTGGTAATCTGTCAAAAAGAAATTTCATTAAATTTGTATGAACTAAATCTTGAAAGTGAAATGATGCAGGTGGCAATGGCAGGTTGTACAGTAATGATATTGGATTGAATAAATCAGTTGAAGATCCTTCTAATGATAGATGACATTCTTTTATTTGTAATGTCAGAGCTTTTGTTTTCTCGTGTTTTTTTAGCACAGCTATGACACGTCTCATAATGTTGATCTCTCTCTCCTATCGGCATTTGATAATTGTCATGAATGCACATCTTCGCATGTTCATTATCATTTTGGTTGTTTACAATGATTTAACTATTAAATGTGCTTGTGTTATTGGTAGGTTACTGTCTGTTATTCCGAAGGGGCGTGATAAAGTTTCACAGGTTTCATCGTCCCGGGATGTTTTTCCTGATCAACACGGTTCCTTCATGAAGCAGAAAAATCCTACAAGCCTTGCAACTCACGCAAAGAGGAGCATAGAAACCGAGGCATCTGTCAAAAAAGATGCAGTTATGAGAAGGACCTCATCTTTCAACGATGCTGCAGTGTCTGAGGCACCATCATTCATCGAGATTCTTAAGAAGCCGGCTCATCTCCACGGCACTGAGGCAGCAGCGTACGGTTCTGCTTTTGAGCCTTCATCTGATGCTGCTTCACAAGCTCCGCGAAGTGGTAAGAAAAAAGGCAAGAAGGGAAGACGGATCGATCCTGCCTTGCTTGGTTTCAAGGTTACGAGCAACCGAATTTTTATGGGTGAGATCCAAGGTCTTGACTAATTTTTCTTATCTACACGTACCGTGCCATGTACATTCCCTGTAATTTTTTGTTAGTTTTGTCTTAATTAATGTTCAGTTTGGGTTTTAACGTTTAAGATAGGGATAGACATGGGTCGGATTTTTGGTCCACTCGACCCGACTCGAGAACAATGACTCCTCCACCTGAAATCTGACCCACATAATATATACCCTCCATCCGACCTTATTTTTTAAAATAAAATCCAAACCCGACCTAAACCGACCCGAAATAATAAAAAATATTATTTTATTCAATGAAAACAATGATTTAATTGAAAAAAATATTATATATAGAGGGGTATTATTGTAATTATTCATAAATATATAAGGTAAAATTATATTTTTTTTCTGGGTCAGATTATATATTTTTCACTTTAAACCGGAATCTGACCCAACCCAATCTAATCAGGTTGAAATCCGTCGGATTCGGATCCCATTCCCATCTCTAATTTAAGGCAATGAGCAAATCAGACTTTTATAGTTGAATTTGATATTAGAATTGAACTTTTCGAGGTTGATCAAATAAGGTCTTTCTGTGTAGTTTTGCTTTACGAAAATAAAAATAAGGGTAAATTCTACTGTTAGTCACTAATGTTTAAGTTGTGTACTGATTTAGCGATTTTAATAGTGAGTTTTAAAACGTTTTAATTTTAACAATGTATTTTAGTTTGCTTTTTAATTAATATTGTGCTGTTAAATCATTAAAATTTGAATGATTGAACAGTTTAATTCTGATGTAGAAGTGAAATTTTAATTTTTATTTCATCTTATTATTATCTTTTTCATCAAAATTAATATTTTTTCATTTATTTTTAGTAGTTAAAATTTATCATTATTTAATGTTTTTGCGATTATCTTAGTCGTCAATAAACTTGTTTCATAATCTTTTATTATTTTATTGGTGTAGATTTTTGTAAAGTTTATTTGAAACTTACATAATTAAACACACAAAATTTATCATTTTTTGGGATTGTTTTGGATTTGAGAGGTTTATGTGTTTGTTCGATAACTTAATCGGCGAGAAATATTTTTTTTAGAATACGAACAATATATTTAGAAAATATTCTCATCGGATGATTGTCAAAAGAGATCAAAATATTATAACATCAAATTTTTAAATATATTTTTGTTAATTTTGAGTGACTTGTGTGAAAGATCGATTCATAGAGAAGAAGAATAAATGAAAAATGAACATTTTAATATTAATCTTATCATGTATGATAATTAATTATGTAAGCACGTCATTAATCATGTAAAAATACATTATCTTAATTGAAATAAAAAATTAATATTAAAATCTAAATACTTTAATTAATAATAAATCAATTAATAATTTAAAATTTATAATTAATAATGTAATCCATTTTAAAAGATCATTATTATTTATAAACTGATATGTTGGAAATCGAATAATGTGAAAGTCGAGTTGGGTGAGGATGGAACAGGAATGCTAATATCAATCTTCGATATTCCGTCTCAGATTTTAAAATTATAAGTATTAATTTACCTTTAAATACTTATAATAATAGAATATAGGTATTAATTTAAATACTTATAAATTGGACTCATTAGTAATATAATAATTAAGGATTTAAAATTCACGATAACTATTACATCCACAATTACTGTATTTAAATCCCAATATTATAAAATCAGTTAATTACAATTTATATTCATCATTTTATATTTATTTATTAAACGAAACGCACAAATTATATTTATTTACTTACTTACTCATTCTTCGTTCAAGTCTTATGGTCTCTCTCTTCGAAGGAAAAAATAAAAAATAAAAAGATTGTTCGGTATCAAAATCAGACCCAATCCTTGACTTATAGAAACCCTACCCATTCCTATCTCTCGTGCTCAGCATAATCATTATCTTCGAATCCTCGTTTCTCCCCTTATCTAGCCATCGGATCCCTCTCATCTCTCCCTGCTTCGCCGTTTCTCGCAACCTTAAACGCCGCCACTTGCCCGCTTCGATCTCCGCCTTTCAGGTTCTGTCAGCTTTCATTTTCCCCCGATGGATGACGGAAAATTCGATCTGCCCGATGATCTCCTATCTTCCAAAATCGGCTCTGACCACTTCTCCAAAGGTGTTAGTACATTTCTATTTATTGTTGTTTCCGTCCCATATTTATACTCAAACTTTTAACTTTTTTGGATTCCGATTAAAATTTAATATGCTCGTTTGTCTGAAATTTATTATTTTCTTGACCAGATCACCACATCGGAGAGCAGCATGCCTTTGTCCCCTCAATGGCTTTACTCTAAAGTTGCTGATGCTAAGATGTTACCTGCTGGAGCGACTGGGGTATGTACTTTTTTTCTCTCTCTTTATCATCGTCTTTTAGGGTAATGATGAAATTTATTATATTTGTTGGTTTCTAGTTTCATCTACTCTTGTATAGTGAAGTATGGGTGAATAGTTTATCCGATTGCATAAAAATAGTATAATATTCATTGTTAATGCTCATCTGAAGATACAATTTACTTATAGCTTGTGGATATTTTTTCATTTTGATTTGTATTGTTTGTGGTGTTTGGCTCAAAGGCACCTGGAGCCTCGGGTGATCCCAATCTGAAAGATAGCTGGCGTTTAGATGGTTCTCAGGATAAGAAAGAATGGAGGAGGTCTGTACCGTTGAAAGCAGTCGTCACTGGCGTGAAGAGGAGAGAGAGAAACAAGGTTACTTGGCCGGAGAGATCGCAAAAAAAGAAACCGGCGTCCTGATATTACAGGTGCAGGGCAAGATGTTAGTAGTCGTGGTTCAGGGCTGAATCTCGAAGAGAAAATAAGTGGTCTTCAAGATGGGGTCTTGAAGAAAAAGATAAGGATTCTCAAATGAGAAGAGGACAGATGCTAAGAAGGAAGATGCCCCTCTGAGAAAAAAAGCTCTTGCTAGTGGGGGGCGCTTAGCTTCTGAGCGTGAGAATGATTCTCGTGATAAATGGAGGCCACGTCATCGTTTGGAAGTTTATGCAGGCGGATCCTCTTACCGCAGTGCTCCAGGATTCAGCTTGGGGAGGGGACGGGTGGAGAAATCGAATGTGGGTTTTACAGTAGGACGAGGGAAGCCACTGTCTGTTTCTGTTGTTGGTGCTCTTCTTGGGGATAAAAACAAGACCTTCAATGCATATTGCTACCCAAGAGGAAACTCCTTGACATTTACCGCATGCAAAAGACTGCTCCAAATTTTTAACCCCACCTGATGAGATTGATTATTCATCGACAATGACACACGAAGAAATTATTGAGCCTTTGGCATTTGTTCCTCCTGATGCAGAGGCAGGGGTATGACACATTTCTTTATAGAACACAAATCTGGCCATTGTCTCAATTTGCTTGCATTATTCTTGCAGGCTGTACTTGGTGATATATGAAAGGAAAAACTACAAGCAGTGACGAGATCTGCAACTCATTTAGGACACAAGTAGGGATCAAATGAATGCATTCTGCTAGAGATTCATTTATGTTTGAACTTACCTAGTAAATGATTAGATACATTTAAGAAGCTAAGTTATGTTCCTATCCTAATCCAGGTCTTATGGATGTGATTCAGGTGAAGAAAAACAATGTTTCTCAGTTAACAGGGAGGATAGTGTTGAATCTGGTGAGAAGGCTTCTGTAAACAATAATTATCAAGGTGAGACATTTGTTTGTCGGACTTGCAGATGATTATGATTAAGGGAGGAAACTTTCCGTTTTATTGTTTGCCTTCAGTAGTCAATTTAAGGATAATATTCAGATTTGTTTTGCTTGTTATTACAGAAATGAATAGTTCAAAGAGGTGGACAAAAATATGTGACACCATCTGATATTTATGAAACCAATGCTTTGGGGTCACATAGGGAGATCGATGGTTCTGCAATTACATGGATGGAAAGGACTCCAACGTGAAGGACAAGAATCATCCATACAATTTGGAGTGGGTAGTGGTCTTCCTGATGACTCAAACTCTCTATTTGGTTTTCAGTCACCGCAGCCTACTCTTGCTGTAACCAGATAAATGTTGAGGGCAATAATGAATCACATTCACTGGAAAGTATTACCCTCTAGAGGAATTGAGTTTGTGCTATCTTGATCCTCAAGGGGTAGTTCAGGGACCATATCTGGGGATCGACATAATTTCATGGTTGAGCAAGGTTATTTGGTACAGACTTGCCTGTTCGATTGGCAAATGCTCCTGATGGATTGCCTTTCCAAGAACTTGGTGAGTTGATGCCTCACTTAAGGATGAATTCTGGTTCAGCCTCCGGTGTTAGTGCAGTTACAAGAATGCAGATACCTGATCATTTTCAAGGGAGCTTGGAAGAGACTATCTTCCGCTTCTGCTCCAAACTTAAAGGGGTCTGCCATTGGACGTGAGCATCAGCAGTTTTTGTCTGCTTTTGAGACTTCTGGTACTAATTTCAGTTAAGAGGGCCTTCTCGAAGTTATCATTCCGAGCTTCAGTTTTCTGAAGATCAAAAGCTCCATAAATTTGCTGCTGCTCATGCAGATGGTAAGTTTAATAGGTTGGACCTACTGTTGATTTTGTTAGTGTTAGATAATGATTCCTGTTTTTCTCGTGTGATGCAGAAATTCTTTTTCCTGGAAGGCCTGGAAGTGCTGGTGCTGAGCCTTTGAAAGTTTCTGGTGAAATTCAAGATCCTTTTAGTAGCAATCCTGCAAGCCATCTGCCTATTTCAAATGAATTTTCAAAAACCAATGTGCCTTCTCATCGTGGTGACGAGTTACCTCCAGATGCTCGGTCTGATGATTACAGAAGAAATTCTGTGTTTAATCCTAACATTCATCTAGGCAGCCCCTTATCTCACAGTGAACAAGAACACAACGGTTTTGGACCTGGTACATCACTTAATGTCACAAAAGTTGCCCGGTGAATCACATCAACTGGATTTGGTGCGAACAAATCCATAGTTTCAATCTGATGCAAAGCAATAATCTCAATCATCAGCAGTCATTCCATCTTTCAGTTCAGCATATGGAACATCTTTTGGAACTTCAATTTGAACAGCAGCGGCAGTTGGAACTTCAGCAACAGCAGCGGCAGTTGGAACTTCAGCAACAACAGCGGAAGTTGGAGCTTCAGCGACGGCAGCAGCAGCAGTTGGAGCTTCAGCGGCGGCAGCAGCAGCAGTTGAGCTTCAGCGGCAGCAGTTGCTGCTGGAACGTATGCGGGAGCAGCAGCAGCATAACCATCAAATTCAATTGTTGCAGCAATTGCAACAGCAACATCTAGCAGCAGCCATCTCAAGCTCAGGAGTTGCTACTTGATCAATTGCTGCAGCATCAGGTTTCTGATCCTGTTGATGGCCAGCACATATTTGATGTTGCTAGAGAGAACCTGCTTGATCAGGTTCAGTTAAAAAGACATCTTCTGAGTGAGTTGCAGCAGAATTCTCATGCTTCAAGGTATTTGGATCCATCACTGGAGCCGATTATCCAAGCAAAGATAAACCAGAGTGCAATCCAAGGGCAGCAGGCTGATATTTTGGATTTCATGTTACAAGCGAAGTATGGCAATATGCTTCCTTCAGAGCATCAGCTTCGTCTTCAACATGAGCAGTTTCAAGCTGAGCAATTATCTAGGGCACTGAATCAACAATTAACTATGGAGGGGGATAGACAACATGCTGGTTCTTGGTCTGTAGATGAAGTTGATCAGTTTATCAGGAATCCTAGCATTCATCCCCAGGCTCAAACAGCGGGGTTGAATGGTTCAGATCTTCACCAAAAGAGGTTTTCATCTTCTGAAGAGCAGTTCAGCAATCTTAAAATGAATCGTGCTTTGCAGGAGCAACAGCAGCGAGGGGCTTTTGACCCCAGTGCTACAGTCGTGCTTTGCAGGAGCAACAGCAGCGGGGCTTTTGACCCCAGTGCTACAGCATTTGCCAGTTCGACTCTTTCTGCACCTTCTCCTGGGATGAAAGTTGACAATGTAAATTCTCTAGATCTATCTGGACATCTCTATATGCACTCTAACAACCAACTAGGTCCATTTTCTTCTGGTAATCACTCTCTTGACAGACAAGTTTCGAGTGATGTGTACGCTTCTCATCCAGATTTAATAGAGAGCTACCATTCTAGGCAAAATGGTCTGCTAGAGAATAGTTTGGGCGGAAAAACAAATGCAACAATCAAGACTTGAAGCAGATCTGCAAAGAAGGGAGTCTGAAGTTGATTCAAAAACATGACACCAGCTGGAGGGATTCATGAAAACTCTAAGAAAGCTTTAATGGACCTTCACCAAAAACTTGGTATTCAATCTGCACAGTCATCAGAAGTAGATTATCAATATTCTACGTCGTCGCCGAATCTACCTTTAATCATTTCACAGAGCAGGAAGTTCACGGTTCATTTTCAGAAGGCCCTCGAAGTTCTGTCTCATTTGCAGAAGAACAGTCGTTTATGTTGGACTATGGAGATCCATTTTGTAGTAGTTATGCAGGTCCTAGGTTGATGGCAAAATCCACTGTGGACAAGAATAGTTGAAATGGAGGGTACGGATAAGAGAAGTGGATTGAAAGACATGATTTCTAGAGTGGTTCCGTGTCAGGGTCTGAGGACTTGGAGCAAGTAGAGGCATCTTTGAACTATGGCGATCTACAAGGTCGAACCCATGTCCGGCATGGTTCTTTAGTGATAAAGCTTCACAGGTTTCATCATCCCAGAGACTTTCTCCGAACAAAGCACAGTGCTTATGAAACAGAAAAGCCTTGCAACTTCTGGTATATCTTTTTTTATTTATAGAAAAGACTGAACCATAAAATAAATACATGTTTTTCCTTGTATATATATTGATTACAAAATCATGTGTTTGATTTGATATGTGCAGAAGTAAGACAGGAAGGCATGTCGATGTATGCAGGTGCAAAGGGGAACACAAAATCTCAGGCATCAGGCAATGATGCGGGTATGAGAAGGACCTCGTCTTCCAATGATGCTGCAGTGTCTGAGGCATCGTCATTCATAGATATTCTCAAGACCGGCTCATCTTCACGGAACCGAAGCAGCAGGGTACGGCTCTGCTTTTGAGCCGTCATCCGATGCTCCTGCTTCGCAAGTTCCCCGATCTGGCAAGAAAAAAGGGAAGAAGGGAAAACAGATCGATCCGGCCTTGCTCGGTTTCAAGGTTACAAGCAATCGCATATTGATGGGTGAGATCCATCGCCCTGACGATTAATTTTTCTCATGTGCTTGTACCAGATCATGCCGTACATCCATGTAAAAAAAACCATTTCTTTTTCCTTTAGATAAAATTCACTTTTGTACAGAGTATATTTGAGTTGCATAGTTAATTTATTGATTTTCCCCCCTTAAAAATAATAATAAAGTTTTTTTTTGGTTTTTAAGAAAGAGTTAATACCATGTTCCTTATCCTATATTCCTTATCCTATAATCCTTTCATGTCATAATATTAATAGGAAAAATACATAAATGGTTCTTGAAATGTTAAAGTGCTTGTGTTTGGTCACTGAACTTTTAAAATTTGTTATATAAGCAGTAAATATTTATTTCATTATAACTATGATTACTGCCGTCAGCTTTGTATAGAACAAGACAACATAAATGATAGTCGAAGGTGTGGAAATCAACCAATAAATTATCATTATAAAACCAATGTTATAAATCGTTAACAGTATTATTGATTTTGTGATTCAAAGTACTCATCGGCCCGTTGCCGTTGGGGAAGGAGACTGGGAAAGCGCTCAAACAAAACCGGAATGACGGAATCGAAGGTTTTGAAAGTTGAAACTCTCTTCAGCATCTTCAGTTTTTTAATTTTATTTTATTGCTCAATAAACAAGATTATAGGCTAAATCAGGTAGAGTTTCGGAAAAAGAAAGAAATTAATAAAACCAATTTGAGTGTTCGTGTTGGAACCAATCCATTTCATTCCTAATAACTGCTTTTTGAATTTCTTCCAAATACACAAACAAAACAATAACATCAAATCAATTAGAGATAGAAAATGAAAACGAGGATATGTAGAATACAATCTCTTCGAATTCAAAGCCCTCTTCCGATGGATCCAAATTCTGCCTCGGCTCCTCCAAAACATCTTTTTCCGGTTAGATTTTATTGAATTTGAAATATTTTTGTTTTATGTGATTTATTATATTTTTTAGTTCAGTCACTGGGTTCGTGAAACTATCTATTTTTTTTCCATACAAAAAAGAAAAAAAAGAAACCTACTGGGACGTGTTATTGGTAATGATTATTGTAACAGTTATGACTTCAACATAGATCATACAATATGGATTGTATACTTACTTGACACTGTCACTTTTGCAGCTTTCGTGGGTCTCTCCAGAAACTTAATATTAGCATACCAGAGCTTGGGAGTGGTGTATGGAGACCTTAGCACATCACCTCTTTACGTGTACTCGAGCACTTTCATTGGGAAGTTACAGAATCATCAGAACGAAGACGCCATACTCGGAACATTATCCTTGATCTTTTGGACCTTTACATTGATACCCCTTTGTAAATATGTGTTCATCTTGCTGCCTGTTGTTGATAACGGTGAAGGTGAGGTGAATCAATGAAATTTCATAATGCAGTCATATACTCCCTTTGGCTAATCATTTGCAAGCTGATAGAAACGACTTCTTTTCAGGTGGCACTTTTGCTCTTTTACTCTCTGCTTTGTAGGCACGCCAAGTTTAGCGTGCTCCCCAATCAATGCAGCCCATGAAGAAATCTCGGCCTATAAATACGGGCCGTCGACACAGCCAAATGTCTCCTTCTGAAAGCGCTTTCTATAGAAGAGTAAAACGGCGAGGACGGACTTCTTATCGTGGTACTCTTCGGTTCTTCTATGATCATTGGTGATGGTGCGCTCACTGCAGCAATATCACGTAGATGTTAATAAATCATATTCATCATATCAGTTAAATCTCCCATCTGTTGTTGCTATGGTTAAGGAGATTAAATGTTCTTAACATTTGTAGTTCTATCATCAATGCCTGGACTACTAAATTCTGGAAAGAAACTATCTAAAGGTAAATTGGCTCTCTAATTTTTGTTCTTTTTTATCTTCAGTTTCTGGTTTCTGTCGGAGTTGATAGTTTTTGCTTTATTTTGAACCTAGTACTCCTCTTGCTTGATTGTGTCATATTGGTTAGCCTATTCACTCTGCAGCATATTGGCACGCACCGGGTATCGTTTATGTTTGCGCCAATTATACTATTGTGGCTGATATCAATCTTTTGTGTTGGATTGTACAAAATAATATATTGGAATCCACATATTCATAAAGCAATTTCTCCGTTTTATATCATCAAGTTCTTTAAAGGGACAGGTAAATGTCTGGATTTCTCTTGGAGGGATCCTTCTATCGATAACCGGTAGGTTGGATATCGATATGATTCTGTATACTGCATGACTTTCATTTCAATTGCCTTTTCAATAATGCTTGCTGATTTCAATGTATCGATCATGTGCACATTTTCGGTCTCACCACGTACCGAATATATGTATGCAGACCTTGGTCATTTCACTGCCATATCAATTAGGGTGAGTGTGTGTATTTCATTCTTGAAGCTATGAACTTGTGTTTTGAATGATGTATAGCAAACTGATAATATACTGGTTGTGCAGCTTGCATATTTATTTTGCAATATACCCCTCTTTGGTTGTACAATACATGGGTCAGGCTGCGTTCTTGTCGAGAAACCTCAATGCGATTCCCAACAGTTTCTTCGCATCTGCTCCGAGTTAATGCAATCTGAGATCAACTCTATAGCTTCTAAACATTGTTTCAACATTTAGGCTAGCGTAAATTCTTAGTTTTTTCATTGCAGAACCCATTGTGTGGCCTATCTATGTATTTTCCACCCTTGCAGCTGTTGTTGGAAGCCAGTCTATCATAACTGCAACTTTCTCTATAATCAAACAATGCCATGCCCTTGGATGCTTTCCTCGAGTCAAAATCGTTCACACCTCGAAGAGCATATGGCCAGATCTACATCCCGGAAATAAACTGGATACTCTTGTTCCTTTCTATTCGATCACTATTGGATTTCACGATCAACTTTAATCAGAAATGCTTATGGTAATTCATTCTCTCATAAACGCTTCCTTGGTGATGATGGTCCCTTACTACTTTGCATCAACTGTCCTGTCTCTGTCTTTGGTGACGATGTTTGGTTTCGATTTTCAGGACTCACAAACGTTACATTGATGTTCATCACGACATTTCTGATGTCACTTGTGATAGCCTTCGTTTGGCAGAAAAGCATTTGGCTTGCTGTAATGTTCTTTCCGTTCTTCGGGTTTATCGAAGGGGTCTACTTGGCGGCTGTGATGATGAAAGTGCAACAAGGAGGATGGGTGCCCCTCGTGCTGTCGTTCATCTTCATGATGGTCATGTACATTTGGCATTACGGGACGGGTAAGTACGACTTCGACATGCACAACAAAGTATCATTGAAATGGTTGCTCGGCTTAGGTCCTAACCTCGGCATTGTCCTGGTGCCCGGTGTAGGCCTCATATACTCCGAATTGGTAACGGGAGTCCCTGCAATCTTCTCCCATTTTGTCACAAACCTGCCTGCGTTCCATAAGGTGTTGGTTTTGTGTGTAAAATCAGTTCCGGTCCCATTCGTACAATCACACGCACGCTTCCCATTTTGTCACAACCGCCTGCGTTCCATAAGGTGTTGGTTTTGTGTGTAAAATCAGTTCCGGTCCCATTCGTACAATCACACGCACGCTTCATCACGGTCGGGTTTGCCCCAGGCGGGCCGTGGCAAGGTTTTCGGGGGCCTGTGTGAATTTTTATAAAGGGCCTCTATTTTCTAGATATATTCGATCCTGTGACCCCTATTTTTATACTTCTTAATGACAAAGAGCAGCATGCAGGAACATCCATGTCAGAGCACCATCTCCGACACCACGTTTCGAAGCTGAGAAAACAACGCCCGATGCCTCACAAAACGTTAACACTGCTTCATTTTCTAGCTTCGGGGCCCCTATTTTTTTGGGGCCCTGCGTCGTCGCGCAATTTGCGCCGACTCAGCCACGGCCCTGGCCCCAGGCCATATCGAATGTATCGATGTATCCTGAGGTACGGGTACAAAGATATCCAACGAGACAACGGTGATTTCGAGATCCAGCTCATACAAAGATTAGCAGAGTTCATCAAGTTGGAAGCCGAACACCCTCAGTACCATGATGGGAGGATGGTTGTTACAAGTTCCACCAGCATCCAATCGGGCTCCAGTATAATCATCACCGAGGAAGGCGATATCAGTGATAGTAGCCAGGGATTTAAATAGCGTTCACGATCACGTTTTCGATCGCGTCGCGTTTATCACGGTTGCGACCATAACAGATATCATTGTGGTCATTTTTTGAAACAAAGAAAAAATTGTGATTGGAATCACAGTTGGAATAACGCTTATAGCTATCCGTGATCGGCACAATCTACCGTTACCCGTTAAATTGTGGGTGCCACATATTGCTATTGGTGTGAATCCATTATCTACCGCAAAAATCATGAAAACCGGTTTCGGACGACGATGCTACCTCAATATCATGGCTGTTATCACGGTTTCGGTCCTCAATTTGAAACCCTGGTTAGTAGCTCCTTTCAAAGCGGCCAATCCTCAATCCTACCGAGATTGCAGTCCGTTTACGACAAAGAGAATATGCCGTTTAGGCGGTGACAAGTGAGATTTCAAGTACCGGAAAAGCTGAAAATGGACCCTGATATCCGAGAAGAGCTGTTGGATTTGATCGAGGCACAGAAAGCAGGGTTTGCATATATAGTGGGACATTCCTGTGTGAGGGCAAGGAGAAGTTCATCGTTCTTAAAAAAGTTGGCGATCAATGTGGCGTATGCGTTTCTCCGGACCAACTGCTTGGGGCCTGCGGTGGAACTGAAGTTGGAATGATATATCATGTGTAGTTCGTTAGTCATAGGAGAAGAATATATGGCTACATGTTGAGCGAGTTAATTATTTTAAAACTTAATCATTTAATCGTAATGTTTAAGTTGGAAGATCTTAAATATTAACAACAATTGCATAAAACATGGACGTATTACGTAAAATATATATCATATTTAGCGTGACTATTAAAACATTATTAAATAACGTAAAACAGGAGAGTTTATCCGCATCGGAAGACATGAAAAAAACTCCTACGAGGATGGAAGACATGAAAAGCCTCCAAGTGTTCGATTGTGATTGATGAGTTTTATATTTTCTAGTTATTCTGTATTAAACCCAGAAGCCATGGGAGGAAATAGCCCAGGGAAGTTGACTGGTCGGTTTTGGAGCCACCGTGATTGAAAATGAGCTGAACTGACAACTAATCACAATACAACTGGAAAGGCTTAGCCTTTAGCCTGCTACCTATCTTTTGATATTAGCGTTTATCAAGCTGTATCAACTCTCTCTCTCTCTGTAGTGGGGTTAGTTTACTCAGCTCCATACAGCTTGATTAGGGTTTATTAATTTGCCAAACAGTACTTCCCCTCATTTTTTGGCTGTAGGAAGCGGAAACTTCAAAGGAAAGCCGAAAATGAGCTTTCAAGACGTTCCGACTGGCGGTGCTCGTTCCTCATCGGCGTCCAAGAGCCCCTCACAAGCTGTGGCAGCCGGTATCTTCCAGATTAACACTGCCGTCGCCGCTTTTTCGTCGCCTCGTGGAAGCCATCGGCACCGCCAAGGACACTCCCGATCACCGCCTGAAATCGTACTCTTTTTTTCTTATGTCTTGGAAGTAATAGATCAAAGATGCACTACTCGTTTTTTTTCTCCTCACGAAGTTGAAAATTTCTGATCGACAGGCACAACACTAGGCAAAGGATTCTGCAACTAGTGAAGAACTTCCGCTAAGCTCAAGACCTTGACTGAATCCGATCATGACCCTACTGTCAATGTATCTTTCCTTCATCTCAATTTTTTTTTTTTTCTTTCGAGTGCCCATTTTATATGTTCAATTCATTTCGAATTTCGACTTGCAGCCAAGTAAAAGGTAGAAGATGCAAGCTGGCCAGAGATTTCAGAACACACTACGAGTTCCAGAAAGTCAGCAGCTGGCCTCTGAACGCGAGTCTACTTACTCTCCTGCCGCTCCTCCGCCTTCCTTGCCTCCAACGTATCAGTCTTTTACGTTTTGCATCATTTATTATTATTATTACTATTTGAGGCCTTATATTGATTGGATGCTTTGTATGTAGCAGCTCCGGGTTCAATGATTCTCAAGAGCAACAACAACCTTTTCTTATGGGACAGAGAAGGTGAGAGTTTAGTTCATCCTTTCCTTTCTTCCCCAATTCTTTTTCACTTATCCGTTCATCACTTGTCATCGTTGAAATGAATGTCTTGGTATAAGCATTAGCTATGAATTTTGTTGTCGCTTTCCTTAGTCCATTGATCTTGAACATTTTTTTTACTCCTATGAACATGCCTGTCTTTTTGGTCAAAGACGTTTCATACAATTTTGCCGTTTTATGTTGTTCTTGTTGCAACTTGCAATGGGTTGCAAGAGCCTTTTCTTTGTGATCCATATTTATCTAAGAAAATGTGCAGACAAGAGGTGCTTCTGCTGGATAATGAAATTGGGTTCAACGAAGCTATATGATGAAAGAGAACACGGAATCAGAGAATAGAGGAGCAATAGGACAAGTAATGATATATTTAAGGACCTTGCCGTTCTTCCACGACCAGGGTGTGGTCATTGGTAATTGGCAAATACCCCTTGAGATACATTTTCATTTATGCATATCGTAATGCTAGATGTAGATAATGGCTGTAGAAACGATTACAAAAAAAAGAACCGAAAATAAGAACACATATACGTGAAAAACCTGGAGAAATTTCACTATGCTGAAAAAGAGTGTAACAATATAATTGCGACTATGCGCAGTTTAAGGGTTAATATCTTTATTTGCATGCCAAAACACTACTACCTGCTTACATTTTATCTATTTATCTGATGCTTTGTTTCATCATAAACAGATGACATTTCATCAAACATTGATGCTTCCTCTGCTGCAACAACCCAGGGTCGAGTTCAACTAGCCAGGGTTCCAAAAGTGTGAAATCTCGAACCTCATGGGTATGCTGTAAACTGTTGATTCTCTAGAATTTTATTTGACATGACATGCATGGTATTTGTAGTTGAAATTTTGCTGAAGAAACTCAAATGTGCAAAGATTGTTTCAACTTTCAGATCGGTTCACCGTAAGCTTGCTCGATGATAGAGAATGAATTTGCGAAAAGAACTTGAATAACCGATGAATTGCTTTTTTTAAAGAGTCTGATTAAAGAGATAGTGCTGGCGAGTTCATAAACTTGCTGTTGTCAACTACAATAACAGATTAACTCATAGCTTTAGCCCCTGCAGTGCCCTGGTTCTCAAAGTACTTCATTTTTAGAACCATTAGGTATTACCTATCACCACATGAGCACAATCTGGTATTGTCCTCGGGTATTGTCCCCGAAGAGTACAATACCAGATTATGCTCACAAAGCCTGCACGACACGATTCGGTACTGGTCAAAATGGTGATAGGGCGTGACAGCATATTTAAATCTGTTTGAAATATTTACAAGAGTAATGTGATCTGGTGAACCATTTTCCCGCATATTTCCCCAACTTCGATATGTATTTTGATATTTTCATTTTGATATCTCTTTCCTTTCTTTTCTTTTTTTGGGCAGTGCTGGTGGGTGCTGGGAATTCTAGTGTTGGTGCTGGTAATTTTCTCCTTATTCTTATCATTTAGTGTCCAAGTGGTTTTATAAAATTACTACAGTGAGTGGTATATATGTTATATGAGTGCAATACAGGGCGTGTATATGAAAATAAATTGATATTTTATCTATACAACATTTCATATGAAAACTTTCGACTCTTCACAGTTATATTGATATGAAAATAAATACCATCTATTTGAACAATAATATTGATATAAATAGACTTTGATAACTTTTACCTTTAATTTTTAAGAAAGAATATCTATATATATATATATATATTATTTTGAACGGAGATTAATTATCAATTGATTTAATGTGATAAGATATTAAATTTATTTAATAATAATAAAATTAATTGAATTATGATGATTTCTCAATAATAATACTGAATTTACAAAGAGATAAAAGAACATAACATGCCTATAAAATTTTAAAATCTTGATTTATCAATTTACATAGTTTAATTTAAGTTGTCCGTGTACCCTAAAAGGTTTAAAGGTCCAACGATTATCGGCGAGGGTGACCTAAGATATCTGTCAATGATGATGAAAGGTGGTCGATAATGAAAGATTTTATTAAATTGATATTTTATCTAAAATTTAAGAATGAAATTAAAATTTTATTTAAGTTTAGAGATCAATTTAATGTTTTTAATTTAGATTTTAAAAATTAAATTAAAAATTAACTTTTTAACTAACTTGTGACATCGTTAAAATAATGGCATTTAACATCTTATAAAATGACAATGTAAGTGATCAAACGTTATTTTTTTAAATTTGATGATAAAGAGTGAACACTTTTAAAACAAAGACGACCATTTAGGTAGTTTACCCTGTTTTGTTTTATTGTTAACATGCTAATATATAGTATTTAGAAGTAAACATAACCAAATAAAGATTTGATAATCACCAATTCGAGAAAAGGAAGGAAGTGGGACTCGAAGGTAAAGCCCAAAGGAGAAGAAGAGGAAGAGATGGCAGTGAGCGGCACCCAAATTTACTCCAACGCTCTCCGCAAGCTCCTTACATGCGACGTGTGACTCGTTTTCTTCTTCCCTTTTTCTATTTATTTATGCATTTGATCTCGTTCCTAATTTGAAACCCTAGTCTAGAAATTTGAATCCAAAATTGAAAACTGGAAATGCAGATCCGTGGGAGCATCTTTTGGGGGATAGGGCTGGGAGCAGTGTTTCTTAACCAGCTAGTGAGTTGGGACGCTCAGCTCCAACGGGACCTTGACCAAATGCTCGAAAAGGCCAAGGCAGCCAACGAGCGCCGCTACTTTGGTCAGTGACCCTATTTCCTAAAACTAACTCGTAGATGTTATCAATATACCTGAAATCAAAACAACTAGTATCATCTGCAGTCAATTTTATTCGCATCCATTTATACTATTAGTCTTCATATTTCAGAATGCTCCACTTACAATTTTATAGTCTCTCTCTTTTTTCTCGAAATTATTTCAGTGTTATATATGCATTATAAATCCCTAAATGAAGGAGTTGTCAAAAATTGTTGTTGCTTAAGATTAAAGTTGTGTATCTTATCTGTTTTTATACCATTGGTTTGACATAACATCTCCTTCCTTTCTCTTTCAACTGCAGATGATGATGATTAATGCTTTTGGCCTATCATCATATAAGACATTTCATGCACCAAGAAACCGTGATCATAAAACTGTTTCAGGTTATCGACAGATGATTTTGGACTGTTTGTTTATTTTCGATCCTGTTGAAGAACCTTTTCTTTGTTCCCTTTTTTTCCTTGTTCAATATAGCCTTGTGATTCTGGATGCAAAGTGCAAACTGGTTAGTGCAAGTGTTTCTCTTGTAATAAATTCATAAATGATTCAAAGAAATCGCACTATTTTTCTAGTGTGTCCTGAATTTGAAATTATGTTGCAATCTCATTCTAGATTTCATTTCAATTTGTTAACTTATATACCAATAAGCATTCACTTTGCAATGTTTAACATAATAATACTTGGTTTTTGTTCTTCAATATAATCTAGTAATCTGTATGTTGTTTGTTAAAAGCTGAACTTTGTATTTCTTTAGATAATATACGATTGTGGCTGCGTGCAAGATTGGTTTGTCATCCGCACAGCCTATTTTCTTGTTGTAAGATGACTGAATAATCGCATTACAGCTTCTTCGAAATAGTGGGTCAGTGCCTAGGGCTTGGATGGATGAGAGCTGTATTGTATGTGGAAGTTAAGAAGATATCTTGACGATCAATTTGCTTTAAAATTATTTATGAGAAAAATCTCAACAAAAACGAATCGAACAAGCTGGACTTTTCAACCATGTAGCAGTAACTTGAACTGTTTCATGCCCGTCCCTAGGTTTTTGGCACAAATTAGAGAGTAATGTGTTTAAATGGAAATAACACAATGTGAGGTTTCATCGAATGATAATTTCGACTTGTTTCAATTCGAAACTAGGTCATTTGTTGGGTTCCATATTCAACTTGTCAATAACCATCTTCCTGTTTTCCAATACCTGAATAAGGATATCACTGGCTTGGCTTGTAGGGGTAAATGGCCTCTTGTGCTTTCATTCAAGTTCACAACCAGTCCAAAACTGTATAAAAATGGAACAAAGCAAAATAGTCCATACAAAACAAGTTTTGGGTTCTTATAAAACACCGACATGTCTCACGGAACAAGCTTCCAAGCTAGCTGCATAGTTTGATCGTTGATGTAAGGTCGCAATGTCCACATCAGGGAATAGCTCTCTAGTTCTTCGGACGTTGACTTGAGATTTAGTGATTTAACAATCTTATCCTGCAAGAGAAGAAATCAATGAAAGAGAAAATAGAAATTGTTTCAGGACTCATCTTCGTTGATAATGATAGATGGGGTTTCTCTCAAGATCGAAAGTATGATAGTAGTTACGAGCAGTACCTGCATTGTACAATCCTGCTTCACCATACTATATATGATTCCCATCAGAACAGCATAATCTGTCACTTCGGGTTCTCGAAGACAAGATGAAGCCATTTCATCCTAAAGGGGAAAACAAAGGATCTTTCAGCTAGAAAGTCAACTTCCTATAAACAGAGAGTTGAAGTGTAAACACCTACTTCGCTGCTACTTTCATGCGGATGTAGTCCAACACTAGATTCAGCGTCCAGCAAAGGAGATAACTGTTGATTTGCCATTTGCAGCGTAGCTGTGGCATCCCTCAAGTGGCATTCGAGCTCATTCAGCAAGCATTCGACTGCACGCCATAAGTTTGCAAACACTTGTTGATCCTCGCACAACATTTTACTAGATAAAAGTACAGACAAAGACAGTAAGATTGCAAATAGAACATTACCTTTAATCCAATGATCATGTAGTCCATGTAGGCATGTGTATACTTCCGAAAAGAAAGATCATCATGTAAGTGCAAAAGAGAGATAAAATAAGCAGAATTTGGAGGGTTTTAGAAGGCAAATTACTACATATTATCCGATTATAGTACAAATCAGTATATGACAGAAGAAGACACTGAGTGCTCACTGTTTCCATTTATCAACCAGATATGCTTTATCTACGATGAATGAAAGTACTTACACTTGCTCGTATTATGTACACGGTCATGATTGTTAATACAACCAGCTTCAAGGTATGACTTTAAACTCTTTGTTTCATTGGCTTTAAGAACGTTCTCGATCAACTTGGACGCCTCGTTAATTGGAGGGCGCCGGAGAAACTCTGAAAGAGAATCAAGAAAATACTATCATCAAGGAATCTAGCAAGGACACCATCCTATCGATTGCAATGGATAAAAAATAATGTGGATTTTCAAATGAGCCGACCTAGTCCTTGCTGAAAGCCAGTAAGTAGTCTGCCTCCAACGGCCATCAATTCATCAAGTTTTGCCACCCTACAATGTCCCAAAGCATAATTTCGGAATTCGGTAAAAATTAAACGCTTTATCACTTTGATTTCTATTGAAAATGAATATGCACTTAAATTTGCAAATCCGAACCCTTGCTCTAAGGTGCCGACATACAATATCCAAAAGCAATTAAGGAATGAACAAATCAAACCAGATGTATAGAAGCATTGGAGTAAGTTCAACAACTGTGAAGAAAATTTTGTGCTTTGATTACCTTGTTAAAAAATCTGTATAAATTTGGAGCATCCTCTCCTTTGTTTCTCCTTTTAATTTCATATCGTCTTCACGTTCCATTCCTGCCAAAAAGAAGCTTCAAAAACTAGGTCATATAGGATATAACCAAAACAGGAAAAAGGCACGATTTTTAGCAGAGAAAAAACAATCAAAGGGTTAACCTAATTGTCGTAAAAGAAATTCCAGACATTCAAAAAAGGACGGAAATAAATTATCTCGAAGATTACAACATATGAGAATAAAAAAGGAACGAATGGACTCTTTGAAGCATATCATCGAACACCTTTCTTGCGTTGCATACTTACCCTTCTGTACAGTTATTGAACTTCAAGTAACAGTAATTTTATGGATTAAAAGATTTTCGAAGCAGCTATTGTGAAAACAACAGCTAGCAGGCGGAGGCCAAACCCGAACCAGCCAACTTTAAATCCAGCAATGGTTAGCCGTGTCTGTATACTGTTATCTGTTTCGTAAATTTGTTGGTTCTTTACCTGTTAGAAAACAAAATAAGGGGTAAACTAAATATTTAGTCACTTAACTATTCGATTTATTCTGTTTTAGTCACCTAATTATTATTTTTTGAATCATACCTAACATTACGTTTAGTTTTATTTTGGGCGCCCACTTTTAAAAAATTAATGGTGATATTGATATGTCACGTCATTATTAAAAAATAAAAATATCACGTCATTAATTTTGTTAATTTTTTAACGACAAGTTACTAAAACGAAATTAATTGTGAATTTAGAAAAACATGTCACTTTAAAAGAAAAAATTATAAACATGTCATTCAATTATTAATTTTTTATTATAAATATGTTATTTTGAGTTTTTTTAAGAAGATTAATATTTTTTATTACTTAAGTCACTCAGTAAGTTCAAATCTTAATATAATTAAATTATTAAAAATGTATTTAAAATTATCAATAATTAATAATTTTTAAAAGAGAATACTTGAATATTATATTAATATTGTATATATATAATAATATTACTTATTATTAAAAATTCAATAACTATCTGATATTTTATTATAGATTAAATTTATCAAATATTTCTAATCATATTTGGGATTAAACTGAAATAATTTATAAATAATAAAGTTTAAATTTATTTATTTTATTTAAATTAAAATTAAATTAATAAATATGTAAATATAACAGACTAAATATATTAGTATATATATTTACTTAATTGTCGCATTAAAAAATCTGTTTTAACATCAGGTGGTTTAATTAAAACTAATTTGATAATTAGCGACCTACATAAAAAGTATTTAATTCAGTACTCAAAATAAAATATATCTATAGTTTAGTGACTATTTGGATATTTTACCCTAAAAGATATTTTATCCAAAAATGAAAACGAAAACAAAAGTTGGGTCAAGCTTCGGGAAAAAATCAAAATCGGCAAAAAATAAAAGGAGTCCCACTGGAGGTCCCCTACTGTTGATCATCACTGGAGCTTCTCTTTCGCTTTGATTTGCCTTTCTTTTCTTCAATGGCGGGAATAATATACCAGATCTTAGCCTCCTCCACGCTTCTCTCTCTGGGTCTTTACCATCTCACCTGCACCGCCCGTAACTTCCTCAAATCCCCACAAAGCTACTCTGCCAAGCCCTTTTACCCTTTCCCTTTCTCACCCAATCACCGCCTCAAACACCTCCCTCTATATCTCCTTATTCTCTGCCTTTTCATCGCTTTCCTCCACCAATCCATCACCTCCTCCGACCCCGATCCCCTCGTGAAAGGCCGCACCCCCGTTTACCGCTTCATTACCCTCAACTCCGCCGCCGTTTTGTTCCTCTTCTTTCTCGTTTCCCTTTCGCTTCTAATCTCCGAAACTACATCGTTTCTTCCTTTCCCTCCTGATCTCTTCTTCGCCTTTGGGTCCGCTCTTTTCTTCCTCCATTACTCCGTTTCCGAATCCGCTTCTTCTGTTCAGACGTCTGACCTCCAGGCGAAATGCGATTCCATTTCCGCCCGCGTCTCGGCTTTGGCTTCCTTGATGTCTTTGACTCTGGCTTGTCAGCCTAAGCTTTTTGTGGCGGAGGTGGGTCTGGGGGCGGCGATTTGCTTGCAGGGGCTTTGGGTGTTGCAAACCGGGCTTTCGCTCTACGTCGATGCGTTTATACCCGAAGGGTGCCATAAGCTGCTGGATGTTGTGAGTGGGGTCGAGGGATCCACCAAGTGCGAGCTCGACGAGTCGCGGCTCAGGGCTGTGGCGATTCTGGATCTGGTGTTCGTTGTTCACGTTATGTTTGTTGTCATCGTTGTGATGGTCACTTACGCTCTTGTTGCTAAGACTGTTGGGACGAGGAAACTGGGATCGTACGAGGCATTGCCTGCCAATGCTGCTGATAATAATCATATTCAGATGAAGGCTTTGACTGGCACCCAAGCTTGATCCGTTTTCTATTTTTCTAACTCTCAGCTCTATATTTTCTTTCTTTCCTTTCTAATGAATTGTCAGTTTGATTCTTGTTGTGGCATTCATTTCAAGTATTATTAAGTATGTCAAAGTTTTGAACTATGTAAACTGTTGCCACTTTTTGTGTATACAAGCTATTTCCACCTTTCTCTACTTTTTGAGCTTGCTGGTGGTAGACATTTTCACTTCATTATTGATCTCTCTGTCGTTGAATTCTGTATTCATTGGATGTTAGTCATTGGTAAATGGAAATTAAAATTAGTCCAATGTTTAACAGCGTGAAGAGCGAAAAAGAAACTGATAGCTGATGGCAGTAGGCGATCTTTTTCTCTTTATATAAAGGGTTACTTTTCTGTTCGATTGTGTTATTGTTTGAACTACATGTGTTCAGAATCTGAATCTGTAACTTGATTCCGTGGAATAATTTGGTCTTATATCGTTACTTTGCTTTCTTATATCAATTTGTGCGCCATTAGTGTAATGATATAGAATATTTGATCTTTAAGCATCTATAATATGATTGTCATGTTGTTTTGAGTGCAAAATATACTCCATAATTGATTTGTAAGTTTTTTAGCACAAACGTGCATCTCGACTACAAAAGTCCTTTGCCTTACGCCTAGATCTACCCTTTGCGCCGTACTCATTTTAAAGCTAAGATGTCTGGCAGAGAAGACAGTGAATTATCAACCATGTCATTAATCTGTGTAAGCGTCAGATGGTAGATTTTAGCTGGAAAAAAAAAACAAAACAAAACTATACCATTTACCCGCATGGATGTACATCTTTTTAGTAAATCTTTGTTTGTGTATTTTTATATAATTAACATGAATTAGTGGATTTGGTGGAATGTGTTGGGACATTGAAATTTTGTCTATATTGATGAAAAATATAGTGTATAGGCTACCGGACTTGTCTGCATTATTAGCATTACATTTTCGAACCAGATCATATGTAGCCAAGATTTTATAAATGTATCAAGTAGAAGTTGGGATGAATATTTTCGAAATAGATTTCATGAAGCTGGACCGACAGGTATGTATAAGTAAAGATAGACTCGCATATTGAAATCATATTTCATACTTGAAGAACCTATTTGGTAGCCATTGAGTTTGTATTCATTCTTAGCTTAATATAAATTATCTGCAAGCAATGAGGCCTTCATTTTGATAGTGTAGGGACCTTTCCTTAAACTCTCTTGTCATAAAGATTATTTGTGCATGCTTTCTCTTTCTCTTCAGTTCAATTTGAATGGCACCTCTGGAAAGGCTCCTATCAGAACCCGTCTTCCAGCGTTTCTTCAAGAAAACATCAGAGTACGAACCAGACCATGGTGGCCAATTATGTATGATTTTCGCCTTACCCGATATCAAAGGTAGTGTCTTGAACCGAAATTTCCTATTTGTTGCACTTATGGATTTTCTTGCCATTCGTAACTGTGTGCTAGCAAGTTCATATTGTTTTCTTGTTGCTCTTGTGAAGATTAATATTGATACACATATCTATATCCATCTATTGTCTTTGCATTCGAGGAAAATATGTACCGTCTGATGAGTTTAGAATCCTGGTTATTATATGTCGAGAAAAAAAAGGAAAGAAGGTGCTGTGAAAGGGGGGAAGCTGAAAAAAAAAGGGGGGGAACAAAGGTCATAATGATTAATAACCATTTACCAAGGGCGTTTCTTGTATATCTTTTCAATTATGTACTTAAGCTTTCAACTTAGAACTAATTGGTAATAGCTAGAAGGTCCCAACGTGGGTATAAAACTATAGGAACCTAAGACTTTGTGGGTTACACCAATTAACACTTCTCCAACATGTAGCACAAGGGATGGCGTGTAATAGAGAGCAATCGAGCTACTGATGTGTGTTTTAGTTTCAACAAGCTACTGAAATCTAGTGTTACAGTCCAGTAGAGAGAAATCGAGTGTTATCGGTGGTGTCTGGAGAACCGAATCGTGTGTAATACATAGTGTCTGAATTTGGGGAGAGAAGGCTTTCACTTTCAGAATCTTGAAAAGCAAAACTGTTTTACCAAAGTTATGCTACTTGTGTGATGTTGCTCTTGGTCTTTCACGCATCCTGTGTTCCTCTTGCCGTAATGTCACATTTCGAGAGCTTGCATAAACTTTGGTTGTTTTCTCTTTTTTCAAAATCAGTTGCTCTCTTCTGTCTACACAATTCAAAGTTACTGGTTGAACAGACCGATCATCGGTTTCCGATTCAATCAGTTCAACCAACTAACCCCGTCTGGTTCAAACAATACTGACTGCAACCGGGAACCAACCATTCATTTTTCCCTGAGAAAGTGAAGTTTTTGAAATTTTCTCACCATTTTTGCGATTAGATAATACATTTGGTCAATTCGGCCAAAGATGGTGTTCTAGCTCTAATTTGTCCGTATATATTGTACACATAAATATGTGCATTTTTCAAAGTCTATATAAGCGTGTTGAATGAATTCTGAAAAACAATACCACTATTAGCCAAGAAAAATAGAAGGTTCTAAACTGTTTAAAGAGAATAGTATTTATAATAAGCGACATAGATGCAGGATGGGCCAAGGAGACGAGCATGGACAGTCGTCTCTTGAAATTTTAAAATATTCTTATATTTTAGTTTTGTTTTGTGTTTTCTATTGATAATCTATTTTCGATTCCTCGAAAATTTTATAAATTCGTTCTCCTTTACAATTTTATAAGTTTATCTTCCTAATATAAATAATATATCCGTCCCTTACGTAGATGCAATTACAGCATGTCTTGTCTACATTTTTAAGTATTCAAATTAATAAGCTAATAATATCTTAAATCCCAATCAAAATTAAAAATTTAATTTTTTTTATCTGATATTATCAACTTAAAAGTAAATTATATTAATCTTTTCTATTAAATAGAGCCTCTCCACCATTAGTATTTGTTCATGACAACTTTATTTACCGAAAACATGAATTTGTGATAGTTGTTAATTTAGGATCTCCGGCTTTTTTTTTAGATAACGCTTCAATATATCATGTTAATTTTTTATAACGAAAATCAATTAATAATAATTATAATAAAAACAAATTTTAATAATCAAAGTAAAAAAAATTCTAAAAATCCAGTGATCGTGAATATAATTTATTCTAAAATTTTAACTCCTCACCACGCATTTCAAAGTTCTATCAACCACGTTAAAGTTGTTTCGTTTCACTTTATCCCAGTTAGATGTTCGACTCGTTACTCGTTAAAATAATTTACTGCTCAACTCGACTCGTTATTCGTTAAGCTCATTAAAAAATTACCTTATTTTTTAACTAAAATTAAATTTTACTAATACTATATGAGGATATTAGGGTTGGGTTTTTTTTATTAAAATAATATTATTAATTAATAATATTTTATTATTTATTAAAAACAATAGATTAGTTAACTTATTTTTTTTATTATCTATTAATAAATTAATTATTATTATTTAGATTTATTTTTTGAATGAAATAATTTTGAAATAATTACTAAAAATATATTTTAAAAAAGTAACGAGCTGCTAGCGAACTTATCGAATCAAGTTAAATTTTGTTCGGTTCAACTCGTTAAATTCTTGAGTCGAGTTTGAATTCAAGTTGAACTAACTTAAAACAAATATTTACCAAATTTTAATCAAATCAAATTCAAATTCGTTAATTACCCATAATCCCAGCTTTTCACAATACAGATAATGATAGACTTCTTCATGCACTTTGACTTGACTTTGAGTGTGGCGGCCACCGCGGGTGGTCTTTTCTTTTGGCTCGAAAATTTTCCAATTTATTTTTTTTCCGATATTAAATAATTAATATTCTTTTGAAACGAATATTATTTTATATTTATTTTAAATTAATTAAAAGGATTCTCAATTTCTCCATTTTCTATTCAAGAAAGATTATTAAACTAATATTGTTGTAAATAATAAAATAATTATTTAATTTTTTAGGGTAAATTATCTATTTCGTGTTCTATCTATTTTTATATTTTTATTTTATGTCATTTAATTATATATATATATATATATATATTATAAAATTGTATCTATCTATATACTCTTTTCTATTATGGTAATTGATCATTAAATTTGATCATTAACTTAACGAAAATGATGATGTGTCATGATATAATGATAGTTTCAGTTTTTAAAACTTATACAGTTTATTAATTTGGTCATAATTTAAAATAATTCAACAATTCATTATACATTTTATGTCATGTCACTAGGGATGTACCTTTATGCTAGAGAGTGAACTTCTAAAATTTAATTAGGGGATAAATTATAAAATTAGAGAGAACGAAAATAAATTTTTAATAGAAATACTTAAGAAATCTAAAATATATGATAATTTTAAATTTTTAATGGGAGAATGCCCCACCTGCCCCCTCGATCTATCTCTTCATGTCACCAAGTCAACAATCAAACCTAACAACCAATAATCAAAATAGAAAAAATACAAGGTTAATACAATTTTGTCAAAAGAAAATTAGATAACTAAAACATAAACACAAGAATAAGTGAAGGATCAAATAAATAGTTTATCTATTTATTAAGTTAAATACTTAAAAATGAATTAAAAATATAAGAAATGATATTTTTATTTAAAGCACACACAAATGTTTTAAATTTACTAGTGGTAGGTATGGTTACCCTTTCATTTTTGCTGTTAGAATATGAATCGGCACATAAACATTGACTCTCATGTATTTTCACACAAAATTATAGACAAAAATCACATCTTTTTTTTGTTTTATTTTTCTTTCTTACTTTTAAAGGAAAATAAAGCTTTCGATTCTTCGATTTTAGATCCATTGCCCCTCCAAAAACAACTGCAATTGCAATTGCTCATCTGGTTCTCATTCTCCGTTAGGTAAAGTTTTTTTTTGGTGTTACGTTTTATCAACAAACAACAACAATATTGCCGCCCAGCATTGAATCCATCGCATTTAGATTCCGGAATCGATTGAACTTCGACTAGATCGGATCAGATATTGTGTTCATAGACTTGATCCTCCGCTTCGTTTCCCTTTATCTACACAGATGCTGGTGTATGATGCTTTTTCCCCTTTTATGTTCTTCTTTTTCGTATGGTTTGAACGATTGATGCTGCATTTATTGTCAATATGTACTGTAGCTCTGCTAAAGTTTTCTACTGCCTGTTGGTTTTTCAGTTTTTCTTAGGGGGAATCGAATTTCTAAATCATGGGAGATTGGGTCATTGGAGCATTCATCAACCTCTTTGGCAGTATTGCCATAAACTTTGGGACAAACCTTCTTAAATTAGGTCATAATGAGGTAACGGTAGTTGCTAAATTTTTTTCCTGTTCAGTATCCCCAACTCATGTACTTCTAGACATGGTTATGTTGCTGAATTAGCATTCAGCAACACTAGATCATGTCTGAGCTTTGTAAAACTCTTGCTTTTTTTTTGGATTACGTCTGAATTCCATTGATCTGGTGGATTAGTTAGTCTTTAGTCTTTACGTCCAAAGTAAATATTATTCTGCTTCTTTTTCCTAGCATATGGTGAAAGGTCGTCAAATTTGGAAATAAATGTCATTTCCTTTCCATATTTCATTATTGATTAATTTGTCCATTCCAAGTATAGTGTAACGGCTTTGAGTTTATATCTTAATACTATTTTGCTTGTCCGATTGGGTCATACTTAAATGTGCAGAGAGAAAGATATTCCACAATGGATGGGGAAGGAATGGCCGGAAAGGTTCCGTTGAAACCTATCATATACTTCCAAACATGGAGAGTTGGTACTGAATTTAATAAATGGGTTTTCTATTAATGCTATATGTGGAGTGAACTAATGTTGAAATGTAATTCTTCATTTGCAGGTATCCTAATTTTCATTCTTGGAAATTGCCTAAACTTCATTTCCTTTGGTTATGCTGCTCAGGTTAGTACCCCCACCAGCCTTCTGATCTGAATAGGCTCGATTTCAACAAAATTACATAGTAAGTTTCCTCCATAAGGAAGCTCTGAACAGCTTTAGCTTAAATGTTGTGGGCTTGATGTAAAGTTTTATCCTTAACCCTTTGTTAGTTGTAAGTAGCTTTAGAAAGCTGGACAATCATTAATTGTTTACTTTCTATTGTGAATTATTGTTTGTTTGGGACACTGCAAAATAACATGGCCATTTGTTTGTGGGTAAAGAGGCTGCTTGTTTCTTTTTCTGTCTCACATTTTCCTTATTTCTTCCTCTGCAGTCACTTCTTGCAGCCTTGGGATCTGTTCAGTTTGTATCCAACATTGCATTTGCTTACTTCGTGCTAAACAAAATGGTTACTGTAAAGTATGTTTTACTCTGAAGCTAGAGTTAAAGTTTGATAACTAGAAATGAGTCAATTTTATTTCCTGGAATAGTCTCCAATTCTGTCTCATTGACACTCTTGTTAGTTGTTATTTCAGGGTACTAGCAGCCACTACATTTATAGTTCTTGGAAATTTTTTTCTTGTCGCCTTCGGCAACCATCAGTCTCCCGGTATCTGATCTCACTTGATTTTTAGACATGATTGTATTAGTTTTCGAATCCTGGTTGCATCCCTTCCTCCTGACCATCAGCCAGTTGATGAGGAGGAAAGGAAGACATACAACAATACATGTATATAAATGTGTTGGGTCTCTCTCTCTCTCTCTCTCTCTCTCTCTCTCTCTCTCTCTCTCTCTCTTATCTGTCTATCTATTTATATATAAATTACTTGTAAATTTATTTATAAGCATTAAGAGAGAGAGAGAGAGAGACACTTGTCTACATGCAGGCATGGAGATTGAGCTTTGGTTTCACTGGTTCTAAAACAAATGCATGGACGGTTTCTGTTTCCTTTTCAGTTTATACACCGGAACAATTGGCAGAGAAATACAGCAATATACATTCCTTCTATACTGTCTAATTCTGATCTTAGTTGTTGCATTTCATCACTATATCTACAGGTGAGATTTGTGAGTCAACTGTTTTAGTGATTTGCATTGACATTTTTTTTTAACTGATTGACATGCCTTAATTTGCAAACATTCAGGAGAGGGGAAATTCTCCTTGCATTTTCTGGACACGAGCTTAGACCTTATTGGAACATGCTGCTTCCTTTTTCGTATGCTGTAGTTTCAGGAGCTGTAGGATCATGCTCAGTGTTATTTGCAAAATCTCTGTAAGTTGGCTGTTTTAGATGTCATTTATCTTTTAAGTAAAACTGCATTGTGATAAAGTCTAATTCTGAATTTCATATTATCCAGCTCTAACCTTCTAAGGCTGGCAATGTCCGATGGTTATCAGTTGCACAGCTGGTTCACATACTCCATGATTCTTTTATTTCTGAGTACAGCTGGATTCTGGGTAAGAATCATGGCAGAGTTTATATTTTATGCTTCTGCCATGAAGAGTATTTTAGGAGACTTATACTAAGCTTTCTTACCACAGATGGCAAGGCTGAACGAAGGGTTGTCTCTCTTTGATGCAATCCTTATAGTTCCCATGTTTCAAATTGCTTGGACTTTCTTCTCCATTTGTACAGGATTTATATATTTCCAGGAATACCAGGTTCTCCTTCTCTTCTCTCTCTCTCACTCACTTACACCCCAAAATGTATATTAGGTCAAGATTCTTAGTTCAAATCACCTCACTCCCTTCCTGCATTAATTAGTTTTCAGTGTAATATACCTCAAGTGCGGTAACATCGTTTTGCTGGACTTATTTATTTATTTTTGCTGCAGTTTCTTTTTGCGGCTATTGTTTGCAGAACAACCTTGTGTGATATTTGCTTTCAAATAAGTACTTGTCATTCAGTAAAAGAACGAAAGTGAAAATTGATGGCCTTTTCCATTTTCATATAGCTAGTCTGAACAAACCAGTATTCTTCAACTCTACTTAAACCCCTACCTTCTGGATAATGAAATTAGATGACCTCAAATGTGTATTTTTTTTATGAAACAGGTGTTCGACGCACTGAGAACAACTATGTTCATACTAGGAATGATCTCCGTGTTCATAGGCATTTCTTTATTGGCACCTGATGAGCCAAGAGGTACATAGATTGAGGACTTTATGTGATTCTCTATGTACAGATTTAAAAGGTGTGAGCTTATTCTGACTTCTATTTTTCCTCCTCTTAGGTGGTGAAGTAAAGGATAATTCGCATCTGAATTCTGTTATGTCTTCCAGCACTGAAACAGACAGGTAAAAGACAGATTCTCGGTGTTAATAACTTATGTCCGTCGTGGGTTGTGTTAAACGGGAGCTGATGAAATGTTGGGCACAGATAATTACTTTTGTTCACCATCATTGAAACTATAAGTGCCTTCTTCTACTTGCATAGCTGTGTAACTATACTTAACCAGCTGTTCTCATTTTTCCTCGTAGGTTTTTCCTGGCAACGGAAGATGCAGAAAATAAAGAGATGAAATCACTTACACAAAGAACGATGATGAAGGTCGCTGATATTCTTGCCAAGGCGAAGGTACTACAAATCGGATTCAGAGAATTACAATTTAACAAAACCATTATAACACTAAATTGGTGTGGATGTTGATATTGTTAAATCCGTTTTGCAGACATGTGCACTCTCACTAGGCTTCGGAGAGGATTCCATCAATGCATCTGCAGTTCTTGTAATGCCTATGATGTCATCAAAGATAACAGGGTTTAGAGGAAGCGGGTTCGATCGGAGTAGGATATTCTCCATGAGAAATTCAAGTTGGAGTAGGGGTGCGGTGGACGAAGAAAGTGCAAAGATGTTAAATGTAGACGGGGTGCTCCCTCAAAGCCCCTGACAGGGATAGCAATGAGCATTGATCTTGAATTCTTTGTTCTTTACATCATTGGTTGTTTAGTAACACGGTAGCCTAAGATTGATTTGTATAGTCTTGCGTACGTTATTGAAAGGAAAGGAAATAGGAGTATGTAATGTAAATTAAGAAAAGAAAATGCATACTGCCGGACTGGACTACTCTGAGACTCTCCCAAAATTATTGTATTCAAGTGTACGGCAAATAATTTTTGTCAGCAGGTTAGATTTTTACCCATTACAATAAATAAAGGTCAAATTATGGTTTTGATCCCTATGCTTTACTGATATTCAGAATTGAATTCATGTACTCTAACTTAGTATAATTTAGTTATCTACTTGTATAATGTGATTCCTTTATCTAAATAATTAAGACATTAACTATTCTAATGATGTATTATTTTAAGGTTTCAATCGGAATAATTAAAGCTCCATTTTTCTATATCGAACCAATTTTTTGTTCCAATTATTTGAGTTGAAGTTTAGAACTTTTTAGATTGGGTAATTACAAGTTAGCATCATAGTCCATGATTTTTATTTTTAATTTTTTGCTTACATTAGTCCTTGAATTTCTACTTTTTATTGTTATGAAGATGTGGTACAATATCAAAAATTCACGTCACTAAAAAGAAAGATTAAAAATAGAAAAATTGCAACCAACTAACCTAGTAGTTAAATGAAATGTTGTTATTTCTAGAGGTCATGGTGTCAAGGGTCAACTGCAAGGGTGATTGAGTATTTATTGTCAAATGGTTGTTAAATGAAATGTTGTTGATTTTAGAGGTCACAGGTTTGAGCGTCAGCGACTGCAAGGGTGATTGAGCGTTTATTGTCAAATGATTGAGATTACTTAAAACATATATTAATTTATACTCACGTTTAGTTTAATCAAAAAATAAAAAAAAAATTATCATATTTAAAAACTATCATGAACAAAGGAAATAAAAAAATAAATTAAAAAAAGGATATCGAATTTATAAATTAAAAAATAGTTTATTCTATATCAAGATATTTATTATCATTTCGAGTTTTTGTACAATTGAATTCGGATTAATTCTAGGACGGATCTTGTTGGAAGATAATTTGGGGGGGGATAAACAAGCAAACACCCCTCATCAAAAGCAGCATGCAGTTCAAGAAGAAGACCCCAAGCAAAGTGGAAGACACATGCATCTCCTTGATCAAGAAATGCAACACCCTCAAGTCTCTGAAAACCCTTCATGCCTCCATCCTCAGAACCGTCGTCCACCTCGATCTCCACCGCTTCACCAACATCATCTCCCACTACGCTTCACTCGGCTCCATTTCCTACGCCTACACTCTCTTTTCCCACCGCGACTCCTCCTTCTTCAGCGATGATTTCCTTTGGAACATCATGCTGCGCGGCCTCGTCGACAATACCTACTACCATCGCTCCTTGCTTCTTTATACCCGTATGCAATATCTTCCCATTGCGCCTGATAACTTCACCTTCCCCTTTCTTCTCAAAGCTTGCGCTTCTCTCCGCAATCTCAATATGGGTTCTCAGCTTCACGCGCATGCCTTTATATACGGCTATTCATCTCAGGTCTTCGTTGCTAACTCTCTTATTTCCATGTATGCTAAATGCGGCCTTTTTTATTTTTCCAAAAGAGTGTTTGATAAAATGCCTCAGAGAAGTATAGTGTCGTGGAGCGCAATGATTGGAGCGTGCTCGCAATATGGTTTTCATGACCAAGGGTTGTTGCTGTTTACCAGGATGCTGAACGAGGGAATCAAACCAAACAGAGCTTCCGTTTTAAATGCTGCGGCTTGCGTTTGGAGTGAGGAAGTGGCTCCTCGTATACATAGAGTCGTTGTGGATAATGGACTTCATAATGATCACTCCGTGCGAAATGCCTCCATGCTCATGTTTGGTAGATGTGGAAGAATCGACCTTGCCAGAACCTTGTTTGATGGGTTTGCATACAAGGATTTGGTTTGCTGGGCCTCGATGATCGACACATACGCTCGGGCTGACTTGTCTCTTGAAGCTTTGCATCTCTTTAACGAAATGAGATTGCAGTGTATCTTTCCCGATTCCGTCGTCATTCTTGCTTTGATTCAAGCTTGTTCGATACTAGCTTCTTCGCACCTTGCACGAGCCCTTCATGTTGTTATTATTCGATGTCTCCCTGATAGTCGGTTGATGCTGGATACCGCGGTACTTGACCTTTACATGAAATGTGGGAGCTTAGCATATGCTAGAAAAGTTTTCGGCAAGATGAAAGAAAATAATATCATCTCCTGGAGCACTATGATATCAGGGTATGGTATGCACGGCTATGGTGGGGAAGCGCTTTGTCTCTTTGATCAGATGAAGGCCTTAAGGAAACCAGACCAAATCGCGTTTGTATCAATATTGTCAGCGTGTAGCCATGCCGGTTTAATCACGGAAGGATGGGAGTGCTTTAATTCAATGGAAAGAGATTTTGGGGTGAAACCAAAATCCGAACATTATGCCTGTATGATTGATCTGTTGGGCAGAGCTGGGCAGTTGAACCAAGCCTTGGAGTTCATCGAAAGGATGCCTGTGAAACCAGATGCTGGTGTCTGGGGGGCACTGCTTGGAGCTTGTAGAATTCATTCAAACGTAGAACTGGCAGAAGTTGCAGCCGGATCATTACTCGATTTGGATGCCGAAAATCCAGGAAGATATGTTCTCTTGTCCAACATATATGCATCATTTGGAAAAAGAAAAGAAGCTTATAATATTAGAAATTTAATGAAAAGTAGAGGTGTGAAGAAAATAGTTGGTCAGACTAGTATACAAATTAAGGGCAATATTTATACGTTCGTGTCCGGCGATCGATCGAACCCCGAAACGGATCTAATCTATTCAGAGTTGGGCAAACTCATGGAGAGGATTAGACAAGAAGGGTATGTACCGGATTTAAGCTTTGCATTGCATGATGTGGAGGAGGAGACAAGGGAGATGATGTTGTATGCACACAGTGAGAAGCTGGCCATCGTTTTCGGGTTGATAAAGTCGGGATACGGAAGTTCAATTCGAATAATGAAGAACTTGAGAGTGTGTGGGGATTGTCATACTGCTACAAAGTTCATTTCCAAGGTTACAGGAAGGGAAATTGTGGTGAGAGGTTCCCAGAGATTCCATCATTTTGTGAACGGAACTTGTTCTTGTGGGGATTATTGGTGACCTCTGTTCTGGCATATTTATGAGCGTTGCTGATGCAGATTGAGTTCTAAACCCAGCTCTTTTAGAACTCGGGGTCTTTCAATTGATATGATTTACCGGCAAACGAAAAGAGATCGAGTATTATTTAAGTAGTTAAATAATTTGATTGACAAAATTAAAATAATAATGATTATATTAATTTTTTTTCATAAATTAAGTGGTCGTGAATGTAATTTATTCTTTTTTAGATGAGAAAAATAAAAATGAATTGTTGAAAATCAAACCACATATCTAATATCATTCAATAGAAAACGACATGTATGATCGATCATCGATAAATCACGTATTTAGTCCACACACTTTACAATTTTTTAACTCACCTAAATAGTTAAAAGTCAATGTACCAAATGGCTAAAAGAAGTCTTAGACTGGCTTTGGGCTGATTATAAGATATTATTTTATTGAGTCTTTGGTTATTAAAACTTATAAAATGATCATCTGATTATAGAGAGTTACTTTCTTGAGTCTCTCGACTATTAGAAGTTATAATATGGTCATCCAATTATTCATTATATTTTAAACTCGTCTTTTTTTGGTTAAAAACTTAACAATCGTCGGAGTTGGGCGTTAGCATATCGAATGAGATATGATAATCGTTTGAGATTATGATATAAGATTTTATCATAACTTAATTAGCATAGTAACGTCTAACTCAAATTGTTGTTAATTTTTTAATGAACAATGACAAGTTTGAAACGTAATGAATAGTGAGATAATCATTTTATAACTTTTAATTAGGCTCGGTAAAATAATTTTTTATAATCAAAAGATTATTTTATAATATTTTTAATAATCAAGGATTCGATAAAATAATATTCTATAATAAGGTATATATGTACTCTACCCTTTATTATATTACTAAAATAACAGAAATTTATGCCAACAGTGGCTGAGACAAATGGCTAAGGAACGAGAAGAGGAAATAACAAAGAAGCCATTGATAATAGCAATGAAAGGGCATCCAGGCACAGGCAAATCCACTTTAGCTCATGCCTTGGCCTCCACCCTCAAATTCCCTCTCATCGACAAAGACGACATCCGCGACTCCTCTTTCCCTCTCCACCAACAACAACCGGCTGCGTCTCGCCACCAGCTCAACGACCTCTCCTACGAAGCTGTCTGGCGAGTCGCCACTACTCAGCTCCACCTCGGCCTCAGCGTCATCATCGACTCTCCTCTCTCTCGGAGAATCCATCTCGACCGTTTGGTCGAATTGGCTGCGTCGGTCGGTGCTCGAATTGTGATCGTGGAGTGCCGGCCATCGGACGAGGTCAAGTGGAGGGAGAGGCTTGAAGGGAGGGAAAAGAGTTGGCACAAGCCTGCCTCTTGGGGGGAGCTTCAGGAGCTGATTAAAGGGTACGGCGGATGCTCTGAGTACGACGTCGGAGATGTGCCCAGGATGTTGGTTGACACGACGACGCCGAATCTTGGGGTGGAGGAGTTGGTTTCCAGTGTGGTGCAGTTCATTGCTTCTGTTTGGTGTCCGACCCCACCTCCGATGTAATTATGACGTCAATACCTTGTTTAGGGGTAATTTACTAAAACAATATCTAAATTGTGTAAGTTATTTACTTTCTACTCGAGTTAGAAAATTTTAAATTAATTAATTTGATGAAAAAAAAATTAAGTTAAGTTCGTGAAATTCGAATAAGATTGAGTTATTAGAATTTATATTTATATTTAATTATAAATATTTAATTTAAACGATTTTTTATAATCATATATTATATTTATTTATTTATATTTTTTATATGTAATATGTATATATCATGCAGAGTTAAAAAATTGACTTGAATTTGATTGATTAGCTTTGAATTATTCTAGTATTATTTTATGAAGTCAATCAAATTTATAAAATTATGACTCGAATAAAATTTTATTCATCCTTAATAATATATATTATGTATTTTTTTCTAATTAAATGATACCTTAAATAATTTTATCTTTAAAAACTAATATTTTTTTAAATAAAAACATGGTATATAAAATGTTTTTTATTAATCTAATGTGATTACAAATAATATATGTTCTAAAAATTCTTAACATTTTGACAATAAAAAGTTCACAAACACTTTTATAGCTTGTAATGCTCAAACCTGTGACCTCTATAGATAACAATCATCTCTTTAACCATTGAAGTAACTTGGTTCGTGTATATTAAATGCTTTTTAAAAGGCTTAATTTGTAAATTATCTTTATCAGCGTGTTAAATTTTTCGAGTAGAATCTTTAATATTAATATCATTCAAGATCAAATCGAAAGAAATAAGAATAATATGTCAAAACATAAAAAAAGCACATACAATATACATCAAAGATACATATTTATCCACCAACATAGATTGGTTCAAGTGGTAAGTAACTTAATATCGTTAAGTAAGGTTTCACTTAATATCGTTAAGTAAGGTTTCGAGTTCAAATCCTTGTGTATGCAAAAAATCTTTGACGGGAGATTCACCCACCAAAACTAAGTGCGCAATGCGGGTGAGCAATATATCAAACTCAAATTTTAGTCCATTTATTTTGTTCACATATAATTTCATCGTTCAAAATTTTATAATAAATTTATTGATATTATATTTTAAAATAAGATATTAACTTGTGAATCATGTAATAAAAAACGATGTCGAAAGGGATCTGAATGTAATATAAAACTAACAATTATACTTAAATTTAAAAATAAAAAATATTAAAATCATTAAAATAAAAGATTGAATAATTATTCCATCCTTAAAACAAACCTTACAAAATCATAAAATCCTTAAAATATAAGAAAATCGAAAATAATTGTGAGTAGAAGGTGAAAATAGACCCCAGGCCTTATCTTCGAAGGAAAACTTTGTCTGTACGAAACCAAATCCTTTGGTCATTGCCCCAAGATGACAAAAACGAATAGACCTACCCACAAAATTATTTTAATAAAATAAGAAAAAAAGAAGGAAAATTAAGCAAGGGCACTCTTTCCCCGGTAACCATATCCCGATATTTCCCGCAATTCCCGTTGATTTGTTGTGTTTGATTCCGGTACTCCTCTCCTTCGTTTCTGAACTGTTTTTCGTTTTGATTGTTTCGTTGTTGGAAACTTTTTTGGGGGCTTTTAAATTGTTTGGATGTTGTTAATTTGATGTTATGATTGCTTTCTCTGCTTTGATGTTTATGTTGAATGCATTTCTCTTGTTTTCTTTGTCTTTTGCCTTGCAGGATGATTGATTTAGTTGCCTTAGATCAGTGGTGAAGTTTTGTTTGCTTGTTTAGTTTTTTAAGTAGCTCAAAAGATTATTTGACGGAGGAGGATGACTGTTGGCACGGAGGTGATGAGAGGCAAAAGGCCGATGATGGAAGTTCAAAGATTTGGAAGGTATTTTTGTAGAGTTTTAGTATGGAGAAGGTGTCTTTACTAAGTTTGACTGCTGGCTCGCTCAGCCGGCCTTCCTCCATCTTCGGCTCTTATTATCTCCTTATGAACCACCATCTTCCTCCATCACCCCAATCTTGTATCAACTAGTAGAATAAATTATAAGTTCTTTAATTTTGCTGATGCTTTAGTGAAGTAATTGTATCTTAGGGCTGCAAAAAGATCATTGAGAAGGCTTGGGCTCTGCTTTTTTTCGTTCTTCTGAATCATACATATATGTATGTATTTAAATGCTATTTGTTGTCGATTTAACATGTTCACATTCAACCACCATTGGTGGGGATAAACCATGCATTCTTTATTGATATGAATTAATTGTATATGGTACTTGAATTTGATGTCTTGGTGTTTAATACCTTAATATGCCCTGGGATTTAAAGTAATTCCTTGTTGCAAAATTTTCTTGCGTGCACTCAAGATTGCTTTTACTGCAATGCAGCCTTAACTTAGATTACTGTTGCTTGATTGGTGAACTTGAAGATATGCCCATTGTAAATTAGTTTCCGAACTGCTAGCTTTCTTTTGACTACATGGTGTCCACATTTTCACATCATAACCATCCTGCCCTTACCTCTATATCTCGTCGTTCTTTTAATTGATATGGAAAAAAAATTTAGAAAGTCATATAAGATAATAATATGTTTCTCCGATTTTCTTTCAAACATCTTAGAGGAGAATGCAAAGTGGTGCATACTGTATTTGAAATGTCAACTGCATTATTGTTCAAATCAAAGCAAATTATGGATTATATTTTTTCCTTTTTTATTTCTTTTATGATATTCATTTTTTTTCTTAATATTGTTTTAGATCTTAATCATCACGAAGGAGGAGAAGAATACAGAATTGAAGACATAACAGAAATTTCATCTTTTTAGAGTGATTGATCGAGGATTTTGCTTTGATATCTGCTTCTGAAAGGAATATATGGAGATAAAATCTTACCAGAATCAGGCTGAGCTGTTTTGTGAAGGAATATTTACTATCCTATTCTATCATCCCATATACATCAGTTATTTGTGGGATTTGTGCTTTCATGATGGTACGTTTCTTAATCGATTTTTTTTTATAGGAATAGGAGGTCTCATTAAAAACCTCCCTCTTAGTGGACCTTACCCGTAAGGTAAAGCCCAACTAGCAGAAGGAGGAAAAGAGTACCTCAATTTATTAATGAAAGCCAAGTTACATAAGACTTAAAAACACTTTTACATACAACATAAGACCTCACACACTCCTCTAGCTTCTAAGCTCTGAAACAGACACCAACTGAAACAGACAAAATAATCACCCGATCCCCTCTTTTGCTAGCTTGTCAGCCTCACAATTACAAGACCTTGGAATCCACCTGAATTTAAAATTTCTAAAAGAAACAATAGATACAATTTCCTTAACAAAATTTGAAAGGGAAAGAGGAACCAAAGCTTGATCTTTGATCCAATCCACGACAAGCTTGCAATTACATTCAATAACGAGCCTGCCCTTGAACAACCATCCTGAAGAAACAAAGATATCAATGCCTCTTTTTACAGCTTTCAATTCTGCTAAATAGGGATGAGAAGGACCAACATTTTTTGAAAAAGAGATAAGTGTAACCCGATTCCAATCCCTGAGAAGACCCCCTATTCCAGCAACTCTCCCAACTCTACTAAAAGCCCCATCCACATTCAATTTAAAAAAATCTACTGGAGGAGGAATCCACCAGCACCCAGATCTGAGTAGTTCCTTAGAAACAGAGATACTATCTGTCAAGGAAGGATCACCAATTAAAGAATCCACCTTAATATAGGAAATAGGATATTTTGCTAGAAACCATCTTGCTAGCCTTAAGTGAACAGTGAAAAACAGTGAAAGCTTGTTTAGTTTACCATTATCAAAGATAATCTCATTTCTGATTCTCCAAATTGACCATAGCACTACACCCGGAATAAACTTCCAAATAACCGAAGAAGGCCTCAAATCAAACCAAGAACTAAGTAAGGAAGGAGGGTCAAATGGAAAAGCTAGACTTATACCCCCAATAACAAATTAATTTATTCCACAGCTCCCACGAAACTTGACAGAACAAAAAAAGATGCTGGACTGATTCATCACATAGGTTGCACAAAGGGCAGTTAGTGTTCTCCCCTATAGTAACCCCCCTTTTCATCAATTCCATTCTAACAACAACTTTTTGATGAGATAGCTACCAAAGGAAAGTCTCCACTCTAGGAGGGACTAATCCCAGCTAAACACAGTTTCTCCACTGAAATATATCCTCATAAACAGTCTCTAGAGATTTCTTGCACTCTTTGACAGAAAACAGCCCGTCTCCCAAGCCATCCCACAACAGGCAATCCTCCAAAGATTCAATCAGTTTAATGTCTTTAAGGCTGTTCAATAAGTCAACCAATTGCAATACTTCCCAATCACATAGATTCCTCCTTGTTTTAATATTCCACTCCCATCCATTCAAGTCAAAACTACCAAAATCAGCCACATTGCCACCTTTGTTAGTAGAAAGTGAAAAAATCCTAGGAAAAAGAATTTTTAATGGACAATCCCCAAGCCAAATATCCTTCCAAAAAGAGACAGATTTTCCATTCCCTATTTGTATTTTTGCATGAGATCTAAGGCACCCTCCAATGAAGTCATTCTTTGAGAAGTTATTAACAATTCCCCTCTAAATCCACGAGTCTTTATGAGATAGGGCCTTGGTGATATTCAAGGAATGACAACTCACATTATGTTTACTATAAAAGAATTTCTTCCATATCGAGTCTTTCTCATTTGCAAACTTCCATACTTACTTCCCCAACAACGCTCGATTGGTACAATTCAAATCAACTCCTAAACCTCCACTACTCAACGGCTTACAAATCTTTTTCCAACTAACCCAATGCATTCTCTTCTTCTCGCCCCCTCCACCCCAAAGAAAATTCGACATCAAAGAATTTAACTGTTGAGAAATAGTAGATGGCATCTTGAAAATGGATAGGTAAAAAATGGGTAAAGATGAAAGTACCAACTTTATAAGCACCAATCTACCAGCCATGGATAAAGATAAAGCTTTCCACCCCGCCAATTTTCTACTAAAATTCTCTATGTCCGGCTCCC